CCCCCCCCCCCCCAACTTTTTTATTTTTTCATTTATTTCTATTGGACTTGCAGCTTGTACCACAGTAGTAAGAAGCTTTGAAAGGTTAATCACTTTTCTGTAGTCTTATGGTGCTGACAAGGAAAAAGTCTTGGGAATTAAAGGCAAGGTAGGTAGAAGAGATGGCACTGCTGCTTTATATTCATATACATGATTCTTCATTAATTAGAACATATTTGATTGATGATATTTTCCAAATCTTTGTTTTGCTAGTCATACATGTAAAGTTTGTATGTAAAAAGTTAAAAAGGTGACTTGGGCACAGCTGATAAGTATGTTGTTTGATTAACAAAAAATTGATGATAAATTCTGAAATCAGAAATATTGAGCCTTTGAATTGGTTAATAAACAGTTTAACAAACATCTATTATGCTTTATGCCAGTTTTGTTTTATTTCGTAGAATTATTTTGCTTTTACTATATAATTTTAAAAAGATTGGAAAGGTCAGTCAGAAATCTGTGTACTGAATACATTTTAAGAGCTACCTTCAACTCGCCCTCACTCCTGCAAGGTGCACTGTCAAAACACACGTCCTCCATTTCTGAATTGTGTTATTTTGATGAAGTGGATTTTAACTAGCTATATAGGGCATTAGCCAACCACCTCCCTACATGTCTAATATTGTTTTATCTTTTATCCTAGATAGAAAGAATACTGTGATGCAGATCCACTTTTAATCAAGTAGCCACATTTTCTTCTTATAATTTTCAGATTTCCATGATGATTCCCATGAATAAGTTTCACCGCTTGATGCATGTTGATGTGCCACGTTGGCTTCTCAAGCAGAATCTACAAGCACCATTTTTTAGCCAGGCACATTATTTAAGTAGTGGAACAGTTGCTAAATCCAGTTCTGTACCAAGAATTTGTGTAGTAGGAAGTGGCCCAGCAGGGTTTTATACTGCTCAGCAGTTGATAAAGGTATACAAGACAAAATGTGACTTTTAAGTACCTGATTAATTCTTTTTGCATTAATGAATTTTTTTTTTTTTTTTTTTTTTTGATTTACACCTTGGTGAGAAAGGAAACTTCTGTATTAATAACACGGTTACATTGTACACTCACATTTCCAAGGTTTATCATCTGACACTGTGTTCTTGTTTTTAATTAACATTTTAAATTGTGGATTTTACAAGAATTAAAAAGCCTTTTGGATATGTGTCTGAACACTATGAGTCATTACTCATTATAGAGATAACAAAATGTCCCCTCTGTACATTACAGGGACATCCAGAGTTGGAGGTAGATATTTATGAGAAGCTCCCCGTTCCCTTTGGTTTGGTTAGATATGGAGTGGCCCCAGACCACCCAGAAGTCAAAGTAAGACTTGCTTTTTCAAAATAAGTTTAGCTAAAATAATATGAAGTCTTTTTATCTGAACCAGTTAGACTGTATCTAGTATCTAGGAATAATAATAATTAAGTAGATGAATATGAAATAAGGTACTAAATGAATTAAATAAAAAAAGATTATATTCTTTAGAAAATCATGACCATTATGTTCATTTTGTTATACTGATTAAATGTTTCTGAATAATTTTTCAATACTTATAATGATAAGTTGAGTAAAATTAAACACAGATTTAACTTAATCATTTCAGAATGTGATCAATACATTTACAAAGACAGCCCAGAATCCCCGCTGTTCCTTTATTGGAAATGTTTGCATTGGAAAAGATATTCATGTGAAAAATTTACTGCAGGTTTATACTGCTGTTGTACTGGTAAATTTTTTTTAGAATGAAACCCTATGTGTTTTGGGTTTTCATAGCTTTACTTGCTTTTGTACGTGTAAAATTAAGCTCTATGTTATTTTTCATTTCTTTGATTTGCCATCATGGTGAGAATGTTACTGTGCTTATTGTTTGTAGAATTTTTTATCATTTTATAAATATATGGCTGCCTTGAAATGTAGTAGCAGCATAATAAATTCAAGAATAACTACTTGATGCATATGGTGACTGTTAAAGTACATAATATTTGCCAGTATGAAATCTAATTATTTGCAGTTTTTTCTAAGGATATTTAAGCAGGGATTAATGTGTAAAAAGCTGAAATTATAAAAGAGGAGGTTTTATCCCTGATCTTATGATGTCAGATGAGATCTTGTACTGCAACAGTAAGAGGCTCTAAAAGATTAATCTCTTTTCTGTAGGCATATGGTGCTGACAAGGAAAAGCTCTTGGGGATTAAAGGCGAAGTAGGTAGAGCAGGTGCCACTGCTGCTTTATATTTATATACATGATCCTTCATAAATTAGAACATATTTGATTGATGATATTAACCAAATCTTTTTTTTTTTTTTGCTAGTAAACGTACAAAGATTGAGCAAAAGTTCATAAAGGGGACTTGGGTACAGCTCTTAAGTTTGTGATTGAAAAAAAAACTGATAAAACTAAAGATACTGAAATGAAATATTGAAATAAGTAAAGCATTTGAAATTTGTTAATAAGCAGTGTAACAAACATATCTGTTATGCTTTATGCCTGTTTTGTTTTAATTTATAAAATTATATGCTTTTACTATAAAATTTCAAAAAGAGTAAAAAGGTCAGTAAACAATTATGTAATATATTACACAATGTGTAATGATCCATCTTTATACCTGGTTGTTAAAAGCAAAATTGTTTCACAATAGAACTATATTGTACTTTTTATTGCTTTTTATCCAGAAGTATTGTAATTCCATGTGAAATAATAGAAATGTATTAAAGTAAATTCTTTAGGTATAGGTGCATATTTTAAACAGACCAAACAACATGAAGGTATAGAAATACACATTGACACTATAGATTATTTATAGAGAAGAAGGATGCATGCAAAATCATCTGTGTCTGGAACCAATCAAAGAACAAGATATTGAGACATTCCTGCTTTTTTTAAAATTTGAATGTTATTTTGATTTTTTTTAGGAATTGTTCATTAACTCCACCTTTTAAAGCATTATTATTATTTTGTATTTCAGAATCTAAAAGGTGTTTACTCTGCCAGGGAGTTTGTGGCATGGTACAATGGACATCCAGACCATGTAGATGTTAGTATATTAATTATGACAATATTAACAGAATTTAAATTCAACTATTTTAGGGCTACTTGGAAATGGTTATATGTAGATTTAAAAGGTTAAATAGTTAAAATATTCAATTTATTTGTTAATGTATTTTTAACATTTTACTAATGAAAATACACTAATTTGCTGTTTTACTGATAAGTATTATAGATGTCTTACACAGAGACATGGAGGGAATTATGTTTGTTACATTCCATTGATTCAAAAATGGCCTACATGAAGACAAATAGGTTGAAAATAAATCTGTTACCCTGATATAGTGCCTAGATTAAGTCTATATTTATCAGTTCTTAAGGGAATTTATGCTTTAAAATTGGAACGATAAGGGCAATCATTGGTTCTAATAAATGAATCTTAAATGAAACAGAACAGACTGATTCCAGAAAAATTATCAAAAGCGGATCACAATTGACTTACATGTTTAAATCTGAATAATGACCCTGCCTATGTTTCTGTGGAGTATTTTGCTTGATAATAATTTATTTTCATTACTGTTGAAGTTGCCAGTAAATTTAGATGGGCAGACAGCCTTAGTGTTTGGTCAGGGAAATGTTGCTATTGATGTGGCCAGAATGTTGTTGAAAAGTCCAGACATGTTGAAGGTGAGTGCCCATTGCAAAAATATTTGTTTTGTAAAAATGCAATTCAAAAATCATTAAAAAATCAGCATGATTGGATTATTTTACAGAAGTTATTGTTTACTGGAAACTGCCTGTTTATGTTAAAATGCAGCAATGAGAAGAATTTTTTCTATGAAGTGTCACTTCTACTTTCTTGTTCATTCTTTGATTATAAATAATTACTAGTAAGCATATAAACTAAATGAATTTTAGAATTTAAATTTAAGAATTCAGGTGTAATAGATAAATTGAAATTTCAAAATTTTGGCTATTTTTAGGAAACAGACATTACACCTGCAGCATTGAATGTCCTAGAAAAGTCCCAGGTCAAAAATGTGACTCTTCTGGGTAGAAGAGGACCTATGGAAGCTGCTTTCACTATAGCAGAGTTCAGAGAGATGACAAAACTGCCCTCTGTGCACACTGATCTTCTGGAGAGTGACTTTAGTGAAATAGCAAAAATAGTAGATAGTATGTGCTATTTATACCTTTTTTGTCTGTGTTTTTTTCCATGTTTGATTTTCTTGCCATTCACCTTTAGAATTTGCTGTACTATTTGTTTTATAAATCACTGATATATTTCTATCAGTGTAATATCCAAGAAGACATTTAGAACTTAAATTAGAAATTAATCATTTTATGAAATCAAATATATTTATGGACAACAAAGGTTGATATGAACATTAATATAAAACAGAATTAGTCATGTACATATTGCATTGGATTATTTGGTATTTTCATTTATCGTTAGGCATAAGACCTCCTAGAAAAAGACTGATGTCCCTTATGTGTAAAATAGCAGGGATGCCAAACAGTGATGGCAGTTGTCGAGAATTCCGGTTACGCTTTTGCAGATCACCAGTTGAAATACTGCCATCTGAAAATGATCAAGAACATGTTGGGGGTGTGAAAGTCATGTTGAATAAGTTGATAAAGGTAAGACATACATGTACCTTACACAGCATGTAAGGCTAACTGTTTATATACATGCAAGAAGTTCCTCTTTAATCTTGAGAGCTAAACCTGGGGATTACAGAGGGATTACAAAGTGGGAGATTACAATCAAGCATTGGTCCGTCTAATTAATGTCCACAAATGACCACAAACATCCACAAGCATAAAAAGGTTGGGAGATTGGTTAATGTAGAAGCATTTGACAAGAGAAGGTATTTAGTTGGAAAAAAGCATATAATACCCTAATATATAGGCCTACTGAACAATAAGAGAGAGAAGGGTTGTGTCTATAAGTGCCAACGAGCAACCACAAGCGTCTTGGCGCTTGTGGACACAACCACATTCTCTGTTATCATTCAGTAGGCCTACATATTAGAGCACTACTGGTATATGCTGTTTTCCAACTTACAATACCTTTTTATGTCGAAAATATATATATTAACTGATTTACCAACTAAATCAATTCATGCTTGTGGACGCTTGTGGTCATTTGTGGACTTTCATTAGACAGCAAGCATTAATTTCAATAAGTTCAACAAAAAAAAAAATTGTTGAACGCCATTTTAAATACAGTCATTACATTAAAACCTGATTTAAAATGCATGTGGGTTTGATGCACAAATTAAATAATTATGATTTAAGTAAAAGAAAATGCACAGCTGGCAGAGTCAATCATATTGTGGTGTTGGCTGAATGTGTGACAGACTGCATATATTGTTGGAATGTTGGCAAATAGCAAATTTATTCTTAAGTTGAGAAGCTGTGCATTCAGAAAAAAATTTAGGGGGTGAGATGGCCTGGGTAACAGAAATTATGTATTTGAATGTGAATATCAGTGGGAATTATCCAAAATAACCTAAATTAAAGCATTTGGCACTGTATGAAATCAAATGTTGTGAAAAAAATTGTGAAATCCCTTCTCATGTAGTTGAAAAAAGGGGGCCCAATTTCCCCTGCCCCCCCCCCCCCCCACACACACACACACACGGGCACACACATGCACTGTGAAAATGTTATGTATAATCCTTTGAAAAATTATCTACACTGTATTATTTATATTAAATATGAACAAATTTGATCAAGATCTATCAACAATATATATTTTAAAGAAAAAATCATAATGACAATTTATTTAGTAGAGCCTGTAAATGACAGCTTTAAATGTCAGTAGATACTGCCTGTATGTTTAAAGTTTACAGACAAAAAGAAAAGAACAGGGTTATTATTCAAATGTCCATTATCTTTGGTGTGTGATTTCTTTGTGGTATATTTTTTTTATATTTAATATTTTTTTAAGTGGATAGATTGATGTGATCTGCTGTAAATACATGTATTCTACTTGCTCTTGTTTTCACAATGGCTAGTACAAATTAATTTTGATAAATTGATATCTTCAGCATCCCAGTGGTAAAGTTACCAGTGAACCAACAGGTGTGACTGAAGACATTCCATGCGACCTTGTATTTAGAAGTATTGGCTATGGTGGTCAGACTATTGATGAGGATATACCATTTGATCTGGATAGAGGGGTGGTGAAACATGAGAGAGGAAGAGTCCACAGCATGCCAGGTTAATTAAAGCAATTGTGATTTTGAGACAACTTTCTTATTTTGAATTTAATTGCACATTTGCATCACTTGTGTATCAAGTCGAACATCTCTGAATCTTAAAGAGAGCAATTAATAGTTATTGGAGTAGAGTAGGGGTGATATGTGAAGATTTGAAACTCGGTTTTAGGAAATGAATTGATCCTAGATCATAGTATTTGAATAAAAACAAAGTAGAACATGTATATATCTGGTACATGTATATATCTTTCAAAATGGATATAATATGATTCATATATGATTCTCAAGCTTATTCAGGCACTTGTGAAGTTTCTGTTACATCATTAATTGTCAACTGAATAAAAACTTTGTAGTTATGAAAATGCTAATACATGTATACTGTAGTATGCTTGTGTTTGTTAGGTTTGTACTGCAGTGGTTGGGTAAAGACAGGCCCAGTGGGAGTACTTGTCAGCACTATGAATGACTCCTTTGATACAGGACAAACAATATTACAAGATCTTAATGATGGTATATTACAACCCTCTGAGAAACATACTGGAAAGGAGGCCCTGTTAAAGCAATTAGGAGACAAGAGTAAGTGATAATATATTACTTGCCAGAACAGGAAGTAATATTAGGTCATATGCAGGGCAATTGAAATGAATATGTCTTGCAAATATGTAAAGTCATAATATGTATTTGTAAGCAGGGAATAAGAAAGGAGAGCATAATAGCTCATTATTTTAAAATGGGGTGGGCACACTGCTAGCCACTTCGACTTTGTCTTTTCTACCAAGGGTAAACAGTAGTGTCAGTGCTCTACAATGATGTCTGAACATGATTATCTTTATCTAAACAATATTTTTCCCTTTTATCTTTGACATTAGGGAAGCTTACCCTCTACCAGGCCCACAGATTGATATTTCGCTAGATATTCACAGATATGTCTCTGGTTAATTCAAGACACTTTGCTGTACTGTGATGTGTTAAAGAAAAGTGCACGTAATTAATCTGTGGCCCTGGTAGAGAGTAAGGGAAACTGGTGGAGCAAACAACTTAATACATGTGCAAGTACCTCCTTGTAAACATCTGCAAACAAAAAGTATCTCTAATACAATGTGCGCTGGGATACATGACAGGCATATAGAGACAAATCATGGATGGAAATTAATAGCCAAATATGACTTTTCAATATTCAGTCAATGCATTTCATTTCTCCTAGACACAAGGGGAAGCATTGCAGGTTCATAGAAATATGCTGGTAGTACATGTACACACCAGTGATGATCCACTTTGAACAAAGGCTTGGACCCAATGCTAAATTATACAATGTCATGTATATGATATATATAATGTGTTTATTGTTTTTTGTTTGTTCCCTTTGTGATTGTCAAGTGACCTCAATATATTCTCTTAAAACAAAAATTATACAAAAATTAAAATTCTCTCTGATGTTTAGTCATTGAATTTATTTATTATACAGGTACCCAGATTGTTGATTTTGATGGCTGGCTGAAGATTGACAAAGCTGAAATAAGTAGAAGCAGTGACAGTTATCCAAGCCCTAGAATAAAAATTGTGAATGTTGATCAAATGCTCAAAATTGCATTGACTTGAGCACACATAAACAATCTAGTTTGAATAATTTATGTTAATGCGCATAATACCAGGTTCAGCACCAAAACCTTTTGTATGCTGCAGTGGTATGTATGTAGACATTACAGGATGCAAAAATATGCAGACAAGGATGAAAAAATGACAGATAGGCTTAGATATACATCATTTTGAAACCTTGTTTAAGGCAGTATAGAAACTAGTCATCATGCAAATTGGAGGATAGGAGAGAGAAATTTAGATGGCGACCAAAAGTGCAGAATTTACTTTGAAATAATGGCAGATAAAGTTATAGAAATAATTTAAATAAAGTAAATGTGTATTTCATCAGTGAAAGATGGAAGCATCATGCATAATTTAAGGATTTTCAGTCTTCATTTTAATGTTGTTGTTTTTTTTTTCATATTGTCTCATGCAATGAGAAATTGCAAGCTAGAATTTAACAATTTTCACTTTACCTCATGGCATTTTAATTTCTGTAAGTTGATTAATAAGAATGTATAATATCAAATCATCTAAAAAGATGTGAACCATTTTTGATACACATTTTATTAAATAATAGAATTTTCATTTTTTGTTTTTTCTATTGGTGCTTGATGTACATGTATGTATATATCAGCTAGTTTCTTTGATATTTTAAAATTTTTTAATTTTTGCAAAAAAAAAAAATGCTGTTAAGATAAAGCTTCTGTAGTTTTCTCCCATATAGTTGACTGTAGTACTATTAATATACAGTAATAGTTCCTCAGACTTTGTCTGAAAACAGGAAATGCAATGAAGCAATTGCACTTATACCTTGATGAAGTCATGTGACTTAGAAAAGGTGCCATTTTTTCTTTCTATTGCTCATTTTTTCATCTGGATTTAGTACTTCTACACTTTTTGTTTTTGTGCCTAGAAGGTGCCAGGTACTTTTCTTTTTCCCAAATATTTCCTTTAGAATTATAAAACTATTTCCATTGGTGACACTGAAGATTGATAACATGCCGTAATTTTACTTAATCTGAATAAAGCTTTTACTAAAACATAATTAAGTTGAAATTTAATATGATCTGTTTTGCATTTTATTTTTTAAAAAATTAGGCCAGGGTAATATGTTATCCATTACCAGTATATCTGCTGGTATTTCTATTTCAGTCTGTTTATTTTAATACAAGAAAGAAAAGTACATGCACTGCCATTAATTAATTCACAAACACGTACTGGCCTTAAAAAACTGTTGCTTACTATTATCCAGCATGATGTACTGTAGTACTACAACTGCTAAGTATATCGTATGAACAAGTGTATATTGTATCAACAAGTACTGGTATAATGTGCAGGTGCCTGCAGTGTAAACTTGATTCATGAAAACGATGTAATGCAAAATTGAGACTTTAATTGACTCCTTATGTGGGGCTCTAATTTAAGCAATATATTCATATTATGTAAGGAGGAGTACAGTTTTTTACAATTTGCAACTTAAAATGATTGTGATCAACTTTGCTGAAATATGTCAAACAGAATATATTTTGTGATAAACATAAGACAGGATATCCTCACATTGACATACTGTACTCAGTACAGTATGTTATCTTAAATTTGATACTTTTCATTTATGTCACATACATGTAATTATAGATGTATGAGTTGAGACCCAGCATTATTTGGCAGGAAGTATACGTAGCATTATCATATTTTACAGTCATCTAGGATCCAGACAATCAAAACCAACTTCCCTCCTAAATGGCCACCTTCATATTTTTCACCTTTGCACTCCTCCTGATTTTATCTTCACACATGGTTATGTGACAAAGTGAGGTGAATGTACTGGACCTTATTAGCAGATAAAAATCTGATAAAAGCTAGTACAGATATCAAATAAATGTTTCAATTACAGTTGATGTTTTAATTACTCATAAATGCAAACACCTTGCATTTTATTTTCAACATTTTATAATTTCAAGTTTCACATACTGTACTGTACAGGATGAGTGCACACAAAAGATCAACTGACAAGAAAGTAATTGATTTTTCTGCATTTATTGTCTATTCGTGTAAATACATTGCTATTCCAGGACGAAAGTAATCATTGTTGAGAATAATTTCCGTAATTGCCCTCATATCCTGAACCTCAGATACTGGGGTTTCCTAGATAAGTCTGAGGTATCACTGTAGACAATTAATTATTAGTACAGAACGTGTATAATACTACACAGATAAAAATCAGTGGTAGATACATGTACAGGTTTTTCCCATGAGTTGGATGTTAGTTTATGACTGATAATTCACAAGACGAGATGTGATAAAAAGTTGAATTTATGTGTGTGGGTGTGTACAGTACTGTATATGTGACACAAATGTGAGTGAGGTGCATTTTTCTTCATCGCTTTTAAACAAAATTAATAATAACAAATGATTATCATTAAATAATGAATAAAAATAAGAAATGAACGTAAATGTAAATAAAAAATGTGATTAGAAAATGATTATTATGATGAAAGAAGATATATAATTATGAGTAAATGAAATGAAAAATGATAGAAATTAAATAAATACAGTAGGTATATGAGTTAATAAAATGAAATGAAAAAAGACATAAATTAAAGAATAAATACTTTTTAAAACTGAAGAGATATATTACACAACACAACAAAACTTTATTAGGTAACCTACCATTACCTGAGCAAGAACAGTACCTTTGTTTAGCTTAAAAGCCAACTAAAACAGTGTTATTTCGATCATTATGTTACAAAGACAGACAGAAAAAAAAGAAGAAAACGTTTTAATTATAATATCTTAAGTCATTGGGCAGAAAAGGCATATCATTTAAACGATAAACGATAAGGAGGAAATATGCTAAATGGAACTTAATTGCCCCCTTTCTATTTAGGACACATATTATTAAATTTAGCCAATCAGAAAAGAACACGCACTGCAAGCCCGAATATAAACGCATGCGTATAATGCCCGGCCTCTTTGCCACGTTGAAATACGTACGATACTCACGGAATCACTGCTTGCTCCTTAAACATTCCCGTTTCTCAATCATGAAAGTATTGAGTGTAATTTGCTTAGCCATTTTGGCTTTAACAAATGCTGCTGATGTCAAAGAAGAAGAAGACGTACTTGTCTTGGGCAACGACAATTTTGATTCGGTTATAGAAAGCACCAAGTTCATTCTTGTGGAATTCTGTAAGTACCTTACTTGTGTAAATCGTTGTACCTTAAATTTCCAAAGATGAAGACAGCGTGTGGTGCTAATGTTTAATATTTTCACTATTTTGGGGTGTTGAGGAATGTTCAACTTCAACGTTGTTTGTTTATCTATTGAAACCTTGACAACGGTTATTACAGTTGTATTGTCCGATTGCATGTCTGTCGTCTGTTAACCAGAGTGGTGGCGGTACATTAAAAACGCACCTTGCCTCTTTTTAGTGCTGTCGCAAACGCTTCTTTAAGGTTCATGGTATTTTCTTTTGCTGCCCCGTATTACTGTAAAGAAGTTATTTATAACGGAACTCGTGGAAATATTTTCCATATGGTGCATATCAAGCTGGCACCTTTTAGCACATGTTGTACAGAATCGTGTTGTAGTTACAAATGTGTTTTGGAGAAAATAAAGATTGTCTAATCTCAAGAAATACAAACTGTATCATTGCGAAACAAAAAGGAAGTTTTAATGCCATGCATACTCTGATTACATGATGTAGAACATTCTGCAACTCATTTCAGTTGTAATAATGTATTTCCTCTTGTTTTGCATTGAACTGGGAAATGTTCAAGATCATCTCTCACTTGTGATTCATAAATAGTCACGCCAATATGTTAGTTTATAAATTTGATATCTAAATGGGCAGTATATAGCAGTTTTAGTCTCATGCCCTGTCCTTTAGAGATGAATGGCTGGAATGGAATAAATGGACATAAAACATGATTAGTGTTGTTGTGCTAAGGGGCATAAAATAGTTTTTATTTCCATGTGGTTTTATTAATAATTTTATGACAACAGCTGAATTGCTATCTACTTCAGTAGTCTAAACTAAAATATAATGAATTAATGAACCCTCTGTTGCAAAATTATTTTCCTTTCTATCCATAAGTTTGATTTGTTAACCAGATGCATTGTTTATTAATGTTTTAGTAAGACAGCACTTCTTAGAGACATATTTTTTACTTTGGTGCAATTTATGTGGCTGCCATAGCTCCATATGGTGACACATGTTGGTACTGATGGTATCTTTGGTTGGACTGAGCTGGCAGCCCTACCTAGGCTCCATTTATGTGGTGACACGTGTTGACTAATGGCTGGTTGGTTCCAGGAGTAGTTTCCTTATGAGCTGGGTCAGGATTCAAGTTTTTGTTCTCATATCAGCACCATCTTGAAGCATTTTTGTTTGTTGATCTGATGTTTTGGCTATTGGACATATTTTCTTTTTATAGGTGGTGATATTCTGATACCAATCTTTTATTCATCTCAATAACATCCTGTTGATACAAATCACAGGCTTCAAATGTCTGCACTTATTGGTGTGCAGTCTTTGCATCTCATATCTTGTTTGAAAGAACCCATATCTTATGTGTTACATATATAACCTAGAAAGATTGTGTGTTTCTAACAAGTTAGGCTAATTGTGGCATACAGACAATTTGGTTTGGTCAGCAATATTATTTGTATGATGCTGTTCATAAGGGTCATTGTGCTTTGTCAGATTTTGACTCATTGGCCACATTTTCAAAAAATAATTTTTATGTTGAATGGAAGACAAAACTGTTTATATTACATTGAAACCATACAGTTGTAAATTATTTGTGTTAATTACAACATCACATTTCACTTTTCTCAATTAATATTTTCTGAAGCTTCTTAATTTGAATAGGTTGAATAGTCCTCGTCCTCTAATGTTCATTTGAAAACATATTTAACTCTGTTTATAAAGGACTTGGATTGAAGTTCAGTGTATTAAATTCAGATAAAGATGAGAAAAAGTTGAGCAAGCATTTAGACCACTCATCAGTTATTTTGTAGCCTGCCAGTTAATTTCAGTTTGACTTGTACAAGAAGTATGCATGAATAGGTTGATGAGTATTGATAAGTGACAAGACTGGGCTTTTGCTAATAACATAAAGCTATATCTATTGATTATTTTCTCTTATTTTAGATGCCCCATGGTGTGGTCACTGCAAAGCTCTTGCCCCAGAATATGCCAAGGCTGCCAAAGCACTCAAGGAAGAGGGTTCTGATATTAAGCTCGGCAAACTTGATGCCACAGTTGAGACTAGTGTGGCTGAGAAGTTTGAGATCAGAGGTTACCCCACCCTCAAGTTCTTCAGAGACGGGAAGCCAGTTGAATACCAAGGTATGCAATGATAGAAGTTACAAGTATAATATATTTTGGCATATTGTTATAAAGTAGAGCAAACAAAATATATTTTAAAGATAAAATTAATGTTGTTCTTTATGTAAATATAGAAATAACTAAAAAATGACTTACATTAAATGATATTAAACTCCAAGTCAGTGATGTAGGTTTTTATGATAGGCATACTTATTTTTTTGTTTTTTGTGATAGGTGGCCGAACATCTACCGAAATTGTCAACTGGTTAAAGAAGAAGACTGGTCCACCAGCCAAGGCCCTCTCTGGTGTGGAAGAGACTAAAGAGTTCATTGGTGCTCAGGAAGTTGCTGTTGTTGGATTCTTCAAGGTATTTTTTTCATTTGGTGGTTATTTTCCTTTAAAATGTAAACATGAAATAAGATGTCATAGCTTGCTGCAATAGTACAGGCCTTGTATGTGATAAAGTTCATAGTTATTGTACTGTGTTTTAATGTAGAAATATATTTAAATTTTCATTGATACTAGATAGGCATAATAATATTTCCATTTTTAACAACAGCAAGCACATTATTTCTCTAGAGACAGTAGTTCTTTCAAGATTCAGGTTATTATCATCAAACATTATCTTTGTTTAATATAAGAGACAAGTAACATTGCAGCTGATAAAGTTGTATCATTATGTGTCAGAGGGTTCTTGATGAAGGAATATGATAAGTACAAGGTGGTTTTTATAACTTCTGTAGTTGAAAATTTGGTGATACTTGGTGCCATTCTGAAAGGTGACATTGGTAACATTTGATTATATTCATGCGTTGCAGATAAACCAAGTGCAGATTGAAAAGTACTTTATGAAGCATGAGTATAAGTAATATTCAGAAGACGGTGGCATACTGTAACCCAAATTGTGCTTAATAATGGTGACTTAAGTCGCTCTTGACTTGTGATAGTCAAAAGAATCGTTTAACTTGACTGGATTTGTCCTTGATTGAGCTGTGATATCATTGTAGGATCAAGAGAGTGAGGGTGCCAAAGCTTTTCTGGAGACTGCTGCCTCAATGGATGATGTCGTCTTTGGAATCACCAGCGATGATGCTGTCTTTACTGACCTTAAAGTAGAGAAAGATAATGTTGTTTTGTTTAAAAAGGTAAGAATTATCATATTGGCTGTTGCTAAGTGTAAAGAAAAATAATTGTGATAAACTGAAATTTGTTATGCTGGTATAAAGCAACAGTTTGCTGATCTCCTCTCTTGTCTTTTGAAATTACTTGACTCCCTATTTAACAAATGGTTCACACTTTCAAATTTTTGCACCAAATATGGTTCTCCTGTATATAAAGATATGTAATGCAAGTGAAATTTTGCGGATATGTTTTTCAATCATTAATTTATTTTGTTGTTGTCTCAGTTTGACGAAGGTCGCAATAACTTTGAAGGTGAACTGAAAGCAGAAGCCATCAAGACCTTCATCCAGGGCAACCAACTCCCTCTGGTCGTCGAATTCACACAGGAAGTAAGTAACCTGTCATTGTTTGGAAAGTAATTTAGTAGTTGTTTATTGTATAACTTAATCTGAAGACAAAATTAAGGAGTTTACTGGAAAATATTTGAAGCGTTAGATCAGTCTGGTCGAATATTTTTAAATCTGTGGTTTCCATTACAATGTTGTGTTCTGTAAGCAGGAGGATGTAATTTCATAAATCAAATTGAATGCATATTTTATTTTGTCTTTCATCCTTTTTTTAGTCTGCACAAAAGATCTTTGGTGGGGAAATAAAGAACCATATCCTTATGTTCATCAACAAGAAGGCTGGAGACTTTGGACAGAAGTTAGAAGAGTTTAGGGAAGCAGCATCTGGTTTCAAGGGGAAGGTACCTAGTTCTGATCATATATCTATCTGTATTTTGCTTTGTGTTTTGGTCTTATTCAGATAGGTTCTGATATTTTTGATTTCTCTTACATATATAGGAATCATATTTAAGGTTTTGTCTTTCAGTTGTTTACATGTTAGGCTTGAGAAAATAAAATTTGTCGAGTGTCCATTCAACAGTTCATAGCAAAATAATAATAACTATTACAGTTACAGTATTATCTCAAGTTGAGAAAAAATTGTATGAAATTCAAATGAATTTTTAACAGGTCCTTTTCATCTGGATTGATACAGACCAAGATGATAATGTTAGAATCCTGGAATTCTTTGGTTTGACTACTGCTGATGTGCCAGCTATCCGTCTTATCTCCCTTGGTGATGATATGGTCAAATACAAGCCAGCTGACCGTAATATGGACAGAGATACTGTCAAGACATTTGTTCAAGACTTTTTGGATGGCAAACTTAAGGTAATTAGGTTTTAAGGAAAAAATTATGCAGATGCATTTTTTTAATTGTGAATTTTGAAATAACTTGTAGATCCAAGAAATAACATTGAGTTGAAGCCATCTGATAAAAGGGAATCTCTCAGTAAATCAATCAACCAAACACCTGCAGTTCTTTTTAAGTAAAATAAAGATAATAACTAACTACAATATGATGGATATTTTCTTACTTTGGCCAAAATATATTTATTTACTTATTTTTTTAGCCTCATTTGATGTCTGAGGAAGTGCCAGAGGATTGGGACAAAAACCCAGTCAAGGTTCTTGTAGGATCCAACTTTGCAGAGGTTGCCAAAGATAAGACAAAGGGTGTTTTTGTTGAATTCTGTAAGTATTTGGTCTCATTCACCTCTCATTTTAAGCATTGGATAAATTAAGTAATTGGTGTCTATAAGTATAAGTATTTGATGAAATGCATGTTTGTAGTGATAATAATTAGATATATTAGCAAAAAGAATGATAGAGTATGTACAACAATACTTGATTTGTTTTTTTTTAAATTATTTTTATTGGTCTCTAAATCTTGACTGCCACAACTATTCTAGATGCCCCATGGTGCGGACACTGCAAACAGTTAGCTCCTATCTGGGACAAACTAGGAGAACATTTCAAGGATAATGCTGATGTTGTAGTAGCAAAGATGGATTCCACCAAGAATGAGTTGGAAGACATCAAAATTCAGAGTTTCCCAACTCTTAAATACTTCCCTAAGGATAGTGATGAGGTGAGCAAAAGAAAAAAGTGAAAAAAAATGACTATAATTTGACTTTTTTTTTTCAAAATTTGTTGTATGCAGTAAGATGTTAAGTGATATGTTTTTCATTAAATTGTAGTAACAGGGATGAACTTTCACTGTTCTTCACTTAGTCTACATTTAAATGCCTTATTTGAAAATTAAAGTGTATTGTCAGATTTATTAATTAAATTTTGTGTGTTAGGTTGTTGATTATTCTGGGGAACGAACATTAGAAGCCCTCACTAAATTCCTTGAAAGTGGTGGCAAGGAAGGCAATGGCCCAACTGAAGAGGTAAGAATAAGTCACTGTTACCATATACAAAAAACGTGCTGCTGGGGTTTGACCACATAAACTAGTGTTGCAGGCAAGGTGATGACAGTAATCTGAATTATTGTGGGATAAAAATCATACAATTACATTTTAATTTACATCCTCTAAATTCCAATACCACAGTTAATAGGTATGGTGATTCAATCCCACTAGTAATTTGTCTTACTGACACCCCATTGCCACTGTGGAATTGCATGTACATCAAAGCAACAACTGGTTTATAAAGCAGTCTTTGGCAAATGTCAATTAATTGTAATCTTAAGTAGTAGGTAATTGGTTTTATATTTTAAATTATTATAGTTGCTATACAGAATAAATAAAGAAATTGCAAATAGGTAGTTTTTTTTTTTTTGTTTCAAGTTACAAGTGTAAAATTTTTCTCTGCAATAGCTTATTCCACTTAATGGTGATGGAGGCATTTTTAAGGATTATGAGTAGCCTGTGCTCTTCATTTAAATAACAAAAATTTGCCTTTAGGAATCTGAGGAGGAGGAGGATGGTGAAGAATTATCGGTGGGTCCTGCCGACACTTCTGTGCACTTACCTACTAACACTTTCTGTTGTTTGAAACTTGTTTCTTTTGGTGGTGTTTGGTTCCTTTTGTTTACTGTTCAATTTATAATAATTTTCTCACCTTTTCTGTTGGCATGCATGTTTTGGATGTTATGTGGTAGAGTAAAGCTAGGAAATAATACTAATGTCATAGTAGTGTACAAGTTTGTTTTTTTTTGCATATGCTATTCCCTTTGACAACCACTTTTTCTCTTTAAAGTCAGTATTAAAAGAAAGCATTTTCTCTTTAGGCTTTCTTTTTAATTTCATTGTCTTCTTTGATTCGTCCTCTATTTTTTGGGGGCGCCTTTGCTTCATAACACTAAAGTTTGCTACTTGTTGACCCCAACACTTGGCCTACATTCAGTATTTTGAGTGCCTTTCATTGTTCTCCTTTTGGACTGCTGAAAGTTTTACCATTTTCCAACTGACTGTTCTGCTTGGCTCACAGTTTACAAGATAATGCCTGAAAGCTGACCAGCTTTAGTTTTGCACTTTGAATACAGTAACTATGATTGTTTGATGTAACATTGTCCTTGTTATCATCAATCAGGAGTTAGCTGCTCAAGAAGAAATGCTCAAAGACCTTGATGGGCAGGATGTAGATGAACAAATTGATGAAGAGTTCGAGGTTGGATTGGCATAAAAAAAATTCAGTTTTGAAAAGTTTGGCCATTATCCTTCTTAAAGATTTTTTTTGATAACGTTTCATTTTGATGCCCTCCCTTGTGAATTTAACACATTGCATATATTTTCCATTTAGATACAATAAATGTGAAATATAGGAGTGTTGACCAAGTCGTCAATAATACATAAGCAATGCATTTTAGTCTACCATTATGTTGTCATCTTTCTTTTTTATGTGCACACTATTAAGTGTTTTCAGTGCATGAGAATCTACACTTTTGCATGCTTATTGTTTGTGCATTCTGTGTGATTTGTCTCCAGCATGTTAAATACTTAAGATTTTCTCAAATAAAGAATCACTGTTCCATACAGTTGTGGCATGGTGGATACCTCATGGTGACATGAATTTTTCTAAAATAAGCAAAAATGGATTTTCTTCAGTTCCATTTTAGATGAAATAGTATTAATAAAATATAGTTTTTATAAATTTCATCCATTTACGTATAAATCCTAAAAATACTAATATTTTAAATTTATCTTTAGCCTGAAGAGCAAGAGGAACTTGAGAAGCAAGCTGAGGGTGAAGCAAAGAAAGAAGAAGCCAAGAAGGATGAGTTGTAATCAAACAATTATTCCAATAGTATGAGATGTATATAGTCACAACCAGGCAAAACAGTACTATACCTTGATTGGCTCAAAACAAGTTGTGATGTAGTTATGCCATATTTCCCATCATAATGGTGCTACAGTGTGTGCAGTAAAATGCTGAATTCTGTATTGCCTTGGTAACTTGCCTTTAAAATGGACGACTTGGATGAGTTCGAATCTGAGTATACCATCTAATTGATTGTGTGAAGTAACTCACATTTTATTATCTCTGTTGTAAAAAGACCAGACCTTCAGCTTATATTGTATGAAATACACCAACAACTTGTTGCAAGTCATCCAGTAAATGAAAGCTTTGAACCATTCTTGGATACCAAGGCCTGCTTTATACCAAAAGTCACACCTTTAGGAATATAGTTATATATAGATTAATGCTGTTATTAAAAAACAGATATTACAAATGCATTATGTGACACTTATTTATAGTTAAAATGATACATTTAATAAATGGTTACATCTGTTCATGTCTTCAACTATTAGAGATTATTTTTTTAACTCAGAAAACTAATGTTTTCTGCGTTGCTTATTGCAAAGTTGAATTTTGCTATTGTAAGAATTCCAAGTTTTATTTAGTTGGATTTTTACTTTTACAGTACATTCAGACATTTTCAGCCACAAGTCCATTATGTTAAGGACCATGTGCATTCTGTAATAAGTACTCTTTACAGAAAGTTCAAATAAAATAATAATTTAAAGAGTGTTATTTTATTTCATTTACTTTATATTTAGTGCAAGTGCCCTGACCTTTGGAATTGCGAAAGGGGCTCATTTAAATCCAAGAAAATGCAACAGTCATATTGCAATGACCAGAGCCACAGCATAATTTAATTAAATCCTATTAAATATTATGAAGACATAAGCTTGGATTATGAAAAAAATGACAGAAATCAAATATAATTGATAAGCCATGCCACTGGTGTGTCAAAATTGCACAACTGACCCCATCTCTCTCCCCCCCCCCCCCCAAAAAAAAAACAAAACAATGAACAGCAAGCACTCCTTAACAGTTTATCATGTTCACCACAACTGCTTGCCGTTGTATGATGGTGAAAGCACAAATAACTTGGTAATATTAACCATTCCTTCATCTTTCAAAACGCAGATGCCCCATTTGTCAATTAAAAAAAATAATTGCACTGCATGCTTAAACTGGTTTTGTTACAAGTGAAGTCATTCTGTAGACCTTTTAACAGAAGGTAAAAATAATTTTGATGAATTTTTTTTTCAAGCAGGTAAATTTTATGTGCAGTGCCAACAAAGTTAACTGCTGCTAGTTTTGAAAGCACATGCATCAAATTGAATGCCATTTATTTTATTGTTTCCTGTCTGCGACACTAGGATGACTTGATCACCAGAGGGTTGTTAACACGAAATATCTGTGGTAGCATGTTGCTGAAGGCATGGAACATGTCCTCTGATAGTTCCTGCAATAAAATATTCAAAGTTAATTGCTTAAAAAAAAAAAAAGACTTCACATTGCAGCGATGGTACTTTTGGTACATACTTACATGCACTGCAAGGTTATGGCAAGGTAATGAATCTTCTTAATTTCTCTTCTGTGCAGACAGTTTATGCTAAAGGATTTGCAGGTTCAATGTTGGAAAATACTACAGTACTGCTCAAGGGCAGAAGTGATATAAAACAAAATACTACCGAGTCACTAAAATTAACACCATAAAATCTTCAAACTGATGAAATCCAGTGTCTAAAATACTTACTTTGGGTACTAAGAACTGTATTGTCTTTGAACCAGAGTCTCCCCATGTGGCCATTTCCATCATGAAGCCTTTAACACATTTAAACACAAGCTCTGCTCTTTTCATACACCAGGGAATTGTCATTTCCTGAAACACACATTCATATTAGTCGAATTTGACAATGAATACTTAAAAAGCTACCCAAATAGAATGGTTTAGATAATACACCTATTTTATTAAAAAATTAGAATCTATAACTGAATGATATGCATAAAAAGTCAGATAATTTAAAACATTCTATTATTTCCCATATTTATCAGTTCATACCTTTTTTAAATTCAAGATAATGCTTAGATGTAATTAGCAACTGGCAAAATTGTTAATGGTGCATGTAGTTAGAGACAGTCACAAATGGCAATTGGTTGTTCTATGCAGGCATAAACTTATTACATATTTACCTCTGACATTTCATGAGCCAGCAACAATGGGATGGTTAAAGTGGTCACATCATTTCTTGAGCAAACTTTTAATACGTTCCTTATGGCAAGGATCAAAGGGTGTCGCGATGAGATGTCTCCATTCTTTACTGAATCATCACTAACCAAGTGAAACACAACATGCACCTCAGACAAGTTGGAGTGCTTTGTGATATAAAAATCTCCATTTTGCATTCTTTTCAGTTTTTCTTCGCCCTATGTAGCAAATTTGACAAAACCGACAATGTGAATATGAGCTCAAGTACATCATTAAATTTAATTAAAATGCATTTTTATTCCACTTGTTAAATTATTTGCCATTTTGACTACCATTTTCTGAAATCCAATGACTAAATATTCAAATTGACCAATGAGCAAGGAATCAGTTAAATATTCACATATAATATCATATTTACCTGTGTTTCACTGGACCCACTGCTTGAACTCTTCACACTTATACGGTCTCCATCTTCATTCAGTTTTCTCTCTGCTCGCCACTTATTTGCTTCTATTACACTTTCCTCTACATGCTGGAACTGACTTTCAAGATCAGGAAAGTGAAAGTCTGTAGAATTTTCACAGATTCTGGCAAAGTCTGTGAAGGATATAAGAAATGAGGATTTTGTATTGTTGTTCTGCAAAAGTGATTAGTTAATCAAACTGCCTAACTTGTTATAAATTAACTGTTCACACAAAATATTTAATTTATAATTTATCAGAATGATACCTTGAGAGTTAAGAGATAGTGGAGGGGACTGCTTTCTACACTTATGACTGACATGGTTGACCCCCCCCCCACCCCCCAAGCTCCTATGCCCTAGGTATGTAATATACTTTCCAAATCTCTAATTAAGACACTGCCGACCAATGACACAGTGCACAAAATCATGGGGAGTTATCAGTAACTCAGACTAGCCTATTAAAAGAGAGGATGATGACCCACACTTTAGTTGCATTAGTTGCCATAGAAATGTTTAAAATTAAAATTACTTAAAAATGAACACCACAAGCTCAGACAAAAAATACATTGCCAAAATGAGAATTAGTGACCACGAGCTGGCGATAGAGAAAGGCAGGCACATGAAAATCACCCTGGAACAAAGAACCTGCACAAGCTGTAAAACGGAAATAGAGGATGAGAAACATTTCTTCCTCACATGTAGTAAATACCAAATAGAGCGACAAAATATGCTCAGTTTCCTCCCAAACACTGTGAGACAAAATTATGAATTAGCAGGCAGTGATCAGAAACTATTCATCCTCCTCAACCCTCAAGATCAGAAATCACTAAAAGCATTATCACAGTATATACAGTTAGCAACACGATGAAGTAGCACTTTCTCTTTTTATGTGAGCACAATATGGTAGATTCTGTAGTAGACTAGACAGCAAACAATGTTAAATTGTAACATTCAAAGCTGAATAAATTATTAAATATTAAATGTGCAGAACTGCTCCTAAAACAATGTGAATGCTGCAACAGCAAAATTTAATCATAAGCTTGGTAAATGTCTACTTGTGTACTATGCAAAAGGCTTATTTTATAATCATGACAACTAGAGACTAGAGAATAACATGTTTTTTACACGTTTTTATAAGTTACTTAACAAATGGTTGTGGTGTTTAATTAAGTGACTAGGTAAGGTCTTTTTAAAACAACAAAACCAGCAAGCTTGAGACTCCCACTTAGGCTAGAAAGTGCAGAGAAAAAGGCTTAACCTGTTTTGCTCTTTCCCAACATGTAAATGTATTGCTGCAATAAAACAATGGGAATACATGTCATACATTACCTCTCTTGATGCCTGTGTAAAAGTTGAGCCTATTGTCTACCAGTAGAATCAGACCACACAGATTGTTTGAATACAGAGACATGGCAGTCTGAAGCCTCTGAGGCTGAGGTACAATAAGTCCACTGAAACAAACAAAAAACTGTCAGGATTAACCCTTACTCTTATTTTATAAAAAAGTTATCCAATTTTCTCTTGCAGTTCACAAATATTATAAGTTTAACTTTTAAATGTTAGGGTTGCTCACAATAAGTTTTAAAGTCATAAAACTATTTTGTCAATAGCAGATTCTTTGTCACTAACAGAAAACTTAAAAAGCATCAAAACTCCAAGATATGAAGATAAACGTTCTAAAGAATGTAAAAGCCTATCAGTTCTTACCCTAAATTGCTGATTCTGTGCCTGCACAGGTCCAAAACATCAGCACAAAGCAAGCGTAAGTTATGCATGGTTTTCAACTGAGCACCTGAGATAGATGGTGGAAAATTTCACCAAAATATATGCATACTGACATTAAACATTGTAAAATATTGCACACAAGTTAACATTGTAAATTATGAAATTACAATATTCTTTTTTCACTTATTGATAAATCTGAGAGAAATAGAGGTACACATACTAATAAGACAAAAATGCACAGTGAGACAAGGAACAAGGTCTCTAGGTGAACATGGACACAAAACCTGTTATATTACACACTCACATACACCTTCAATGTGGAGCTGAAGCTCCCTTATACAGTATAATTAAATCCAGCAATAATTCACCACATATATTTAGTTTCAAGTTAAGACATACTTCAGATAAAACTATTTACCCAAGTGAACTGTAAAACTCTCTTCCAGTCTTGGTTCTGGAGGCATGGGACCAACATCTGTCTGTGTGAGGCTGCTTCTGTCACTACTTGATCTGGACAAAGCTCGTACCTTTTGTCTAATAAAAATACATTTTTTACTATAATATCACATTTAACCATTATATACTGTAACATTTGGCGATCAACCATTGTATACTGCTGTGTTTGACTAACAATAAAGAGTGGATCCTATATGTTGTCTTCATTTCCAGTCATTCAGCTTCGAACACAAACAGGTGCCCAATGGTATAAAACATACAGCTTCATTTGTACAAGTTAGCAAGTGCAGAGCAAAGGTATGCAAACTACTCACTAGATATGTGTTGGTAACACAGTGTGATTTTCCCACAGCTTAATCATTGACAACTTATCTTAGCTACAGCAAATAACATATTGGATATCTTTTCGCTATTATGGTTTTGACACAGGTCAGATCTAATGGTCTCAACTACAAAGTTTCAACATGTGAAGTCAAATAAAAAAAAAAAACATAGAAGCCAAGGTGTATATTTTATATCTTACACATATGCAGGTGTTCCCTCTAGTCTTTTTGAAGAGTCTTCATACACTTTCATGACCCACTCTCTGTATTCCCTTTTTTGTTGATTCTGCAGCTCTTTGAGTTCTTTGTTCCATTTCACTTCTAGTTCCTTAAAAACAAATGAGATGTTCTTATGATACGCATAATTACAAAACAATTTGTTGTTTTATTTGAGACCATTTTCCACTTTTGTCCATATTAATAAGGAGCAAAGGATTCCCATTACAATTGACACTATTTATATTTTCAAAGCATGTCAGCCATTTCTTTTTACTTCATTTTATTTTGCTCAATGTAACATTTTCTGCCTTAATGCACTTCTTCAAATTTCCGAGGAAGAAAATATACAAATATGACCATAAAGCACAGAGAATGCATATAAAAATTGTGAATCTACCTGACTTTTTTCAAAGTGCTTCTGCGCTAGAATATTGACATGCTCATCAGTGTGCAACCTCACATCTTGCAGAGCTTGTTCCATTTCTTTGCCATGCCTGCAAAAAGTTTATTTGATAAGAATATGCTAGCTGTTAAGAGCACAGGGTGCAATACAATATACGTGAAAAGCCAGGGAGTGGCAGCATCATAATTTTTTTAAAGGGATGTAACAACTGTTTGTTTTAATCTGTCTGTATTGGTCAACATAATGATTTTCCCATACCTACCAATGGTTAATTAATCCATTCTGACATTCAAAGTTAGTACTAGGTTTTTTCCTAAAAAATTGCTTTTTGTTATAATCTCTTAAGAGATTATTATGGAGGTATAGCCATCTAAGAAAGTCCATGACATTTGATGGCAAGCACAGATTCCAAAACAATTGGGATAACTGTTCTTTTGGTGGTTAAATGGGATTTAGTATATTAAATTTTATTTAGTATATTTCAGTTGTTTACAATGTATTCTTTTGAAATATGAATTTCATACGAACAGAGAGAGAGTTATAGCAGCTGCTATATTTTCACTATTTTGCCACTGTGCATTAATGAAGTTTAATGGTATCTTACTATGATGTATTCAGGTGTAACTTATACTTCATAAGATAGAAAACTGACGTCTTTATGTTATTTTCTACATTTGCTATGCTATGAACATTCAATAAACATATTTTTGCTTTCAACTGCACTTCAAAAATCTGATTGTGATTTTCTATTTTGTATTTCTATTGTCAATCCTTACTTCTTCTCTGTGGTTTCCAATTCCCAATTTCGTGACCCAATGATCTCTTCCACAGCAATGGAGTACTGGTGCTCCAGATTGAACAGGGTTTCTAGGGCATCAGAGTGGATCAAGGCATGGTACACCTCAGAGAAGATCACTTCATCACTCGTCTCCTCAGGAGGTGAATACTGCTTGATTTCCTGAAACAAGGTTTGCAATTCATGTTAAAATTCTATCCCATTTGTAATCACCTTTGATCTTTTTTCTTGGATGTAAATGCCTATCACCAGCAAAGCTGTGCACCATTTCTATGCCACTAAAAAGTCATTTTACCGTAAGAAGCTAAAAAAATCTGCAATCAGTGTTTTAATGTACAGATGTTTCCTCCATTTCTAAAGGCTGGGACTCTATCAATGCCAGAAGATGGGTAAAACCTGAAAATACTGAAGAAAGCTGAAGGGAAATCAATGCTATGGTCTCAGATTAAGTTTTTACCACCGTCTTGAGAAATCTGAATATCTCCGATACTGAAGCTCACATTAAGCAACTGACCGACATTGCAGTTTCAACCCAAGACCTTTCACATGGTAAATGTCCTGCATGGACTGGTCAAATGATCTATTGTCATACGGCCTTGAATAGTTTTCTATATTGTTGTTTAGATGATTCTTAATTTTATTCCATCATGTACAGCATAATGTTTCCGTTATGGAACCAATACTGCAACTGGAAAGCAGATAACTTTTTTTTCGCATCACAGTGTATGTCAGAGGTTCCAAAATCGTGAATGTGGGAGGATAAATACCCTTTTTTCAACTAGTCATGCATGTTGCACCACAATGCATCTGTGTATTTATCATTTTTGACTTGGTGAATGTGATAATTATCTCTTCAAAGCTTTTATGTTTTTAGATAGTAATGGTATGTTGTTATGAAAATAATGGCATTATTAAAGAATATAACAATCTATTATTATTTGATTAAATCACATAAAAAGTAAGTGGAATAAAATCTATGAAAAAATAATAATAACCTTCACCTTCTTGCTCACAACATTTCTGATATAGTTGGACTAGCTTGGAAATTGTGTAAAACATCCAATCTTGTCCATTCAATTTGACGCCCTGCAACTTGAATCCTTTAAAACCCAGATGATGTTTACCTTGGTATAAGCCTTTGTCCATTGCCTTGCAAGTTCTTCAACAGACACACTTCCACTTCTAAGTTTTTTGACAGCAGCTTCAGCAAATTCATCTTGCCACTTTTCAGTTTCCTCCGCCAAAAATTCTTTTAATTTTTTCAACAAATCTAAAAAAAGGACTGAAATGTAAACCTACTGAAAAAATTAATACATTTGTCATCAATGTCATTCCAACTTTTTAATGAGGTAAAAAATTATCTGCTTACACTAAAATACAATAAAGGAGTCAATGATACCACAAACATTACAGCATACAAAGTATTACAGCAGCCAGTTTTGCCAAAGCAATAATTACCATTTTCTTGATAAATTTCCAATAACATTTCTAAAGCAAGTCCAACCCTAAGGACGCCTACCTGCTTCTACATAACAAGGTATGTTATGTGCTGCAATAAGTCTGCCAGCTAAGCTCTCAGCTGTGGTATCCAATGGAATTGGGATGGGTACTTTCAGGGTGCTCTTGGTACCCTGGTTACTGAAGGCAAATACAAAGTTTTTTTGAAGCACTTCACCCATGATGTCTGTTATTACCAGTTGACTGGAAACTTTTGGACGTTCATTTTTTTAGCTAAAAATAAATGAAGAAAACATAAAAACATACATTTACATTCCCCATAATCATAGCTAAAGCTGTTATCTTAAAAAACACTTATTTTGACATACAGCATTTTTGCATCCTTAATGAAGCACATTGTAGGATTTTCCCTTCTAAAAAAACTCATACTTAACATTTTTTCCCTAGAGTAAACAGTGTTTTTTCTCAAAATAACCATCCTTTAAAAATTAAAAAGTCCTTGATCCATGTACAAGCAATGAGCAATGGTTGTTCAAATTTCCCCATCCCTGCTAGTTCAAGTTGCCATCAAAAAGTTCTATGTCAAGATGATTGACTATTTCAAGAGTAACTTATTCAGGAGATGTGAAATCTTTATTATTATTTTCTTAAATATTAGTTTACATGTATGTAATTTATCTGTTAAAATATGAGCTAAAGGAATTTAGTCTCCAGATAAGTTCAACAAAAAGTGTATATATATGCATGTACTTAGGGTGTGCTTAAGATCTTACACTTCGTCACTTTAACAGGAGTCAAATTTAGCTAGAACCCGGAAAATTATAAATAAATGATAAAATACATGACAACCTGTTTTCATGATAGCAACTATAGCACTGTCCAAATTAACTATTTAATTACATGTATTGTCTCTTTGTGCTCCACATTTCTTGCCTGTTTGGTATGAAGCACCACAAATTGGCAGGTTGCAAATATACAATTTCTACAGATATCAACTTTAATTTCTGCTGCATTCTGGTACATGTGACCAAACTTTGATTATAAAAAATTAAGTGAACTTTGACAGTACTGTAGTTGCTATCATGAAAACATAAGTTGTCACTTGCTTAGTATCTGTCCTACAAGTATTAAAGATAACAACCATTTAAGGCATTACTTTATTCTGGAAAGTAAAACTAAACCATAATTGAGGGGATTCAGGAAGTGCAGGTTGTACAGTACTGTAGTAGAGCTGGATTTAATTAATGAAATACTACCTTCATAATTAATTCTGAACTAAACTAGTAGATACTACCTGTACATGTAATACCAACTACTTCTATATATATATTACCTTCCAAACACACAAACAAGAAATACTCTGTTATGGTAAATGACTACGCACATGCGTATTAAAATAGTATTAAATACACCACAGACTGCAGTTCATAGCGAAAGGAAGTGAAGTGGGTTTCATGTTACAAAGTGGAGAAATATCATAAAAACCAATTTTATATCATTTTAATACGACGTGATTTTAAATAAATGATTTAAGATATTCTATAGTCCTCATTCATAATACAACGAGAAATTTGTTTTCATATTATAAAAGTACCGTTGGGTCTAGGCTAGAATACGAGCACCTGCACCAGCTGACCGTCGTCTGGGGGTCATGCATTGCATTGTGGGACGATATTGAACAGAAATAGGTCAAAACTAGACAAATAATGGCTGAAGATCTAACTCGGTCATCGACGCAGCGGCAGGAGAAATCTGGTAAGCCATCAAAATGCGGTGTCGATTTTTTAAACGTGGATAAATTAAGAACAGATGTATCTCTTGCGTTAGTTTATTTCCCGTTTTAACTCATTTCATGGTACTGTAAAGTACAATTTCCAGTTCGACTTTGACGTCTGTTTCCACGGCGTTATGGCCATGAGCTTTGTCTGAAATTAGGTCATGTACTTTCTACGTTAATTAACATGATTTATTTGGCAATATTTTGCTGTAGGTCATCAAGACATATTCTTTATCATCACCAATGAATATTTTTTAATTAAAAAGCAAGTTTTACTGCGTTACAATATGAATACTTTTAGTATTTTGAGTGCATATAAAATTAGGTCACCACGACGAGGGAATTATTTGGGACAAAAGATTGAGGTGAAAAATCAGTGTCCGTCGCCCCACTTAGAAATGTTTACTTTCTCGTAATAACGGGGAATAAAAACTTAAAAACGAAAAAGGGTAAAGGGAAATATTGCACTTAATGTTCCTGTAGTTATTACTTGGTCTTGACTCCCGTTGATCAATACCTTTACCAACATGAATATTTCAATATACCGTGACCTATTTTATTTCCAACCAGTACGGCAGCTGTGTGTAATGTTGAACTGTCAAATTTCACCTTGATTTCACACTCTCTGACACTTCTTTTTAGATTTTTATTTTACTTCATGTTCCATGAAAGTACTCCAAATAAAGATTTTGAGAAAGCAGGATTACGTTGTGCTATGTCAAGGGGACGGTATAGTAAATGAATAATGCTTTAAATTTTTTGCCCGATGTGTTGCCAAAATGTGTTAAGTTATTTGGTTTACCTAAACTAAATGTATGAAGGTGGCTTTTAACTTTCAACTCCATTGCCTTGTCTAACAGTGATCATCACTATTTGAAATACTTTTGGCTGATGATCTTTAATTAAAGAGTTTATATTCATACAAAAAATGAATCAACTTCATACATATTTTTTCTTTAATCAAACAAATATTTACATAGTTTTTTAATGTTCTAGAGTTATTGTCCAACTCATTAGGTTAGCATAGTAATCATGCCTTTGCTTGCAAGTTTCAAACATTTTTAAGCATAAATCCACTTTTGAATAATACAACTGAATCAGATAATACTGTCAAGACGGCAAATCTGTCAAAATTAATCTACCATGATAAGATTCTAGATGAATATGTGAAAATTGTGTGAAACAATAGTAAGGGATTTTTTAACCACATTCCATGGGTATACATGATTCTTACTACTTTCCAAAAAATCTTATAAGTCAGTGAATTTTAGCAATTCTTGATTACACATGGGTAATATGTCATAATGTGGTATTTCAAGAAAGTGGTTTTCTGATATATCTTTTTTTTTTCTTTTTTTTTTGTTCTTATGCTGAGCAATACTTGTCATCAACAACAACTCATTGACAGGTGTCAATTTATTCTAGAGATATGACTCTGAGATATTAACTTTTTTCTGTGAAAGGAGGTTGTTGGGAGTTTTGGTGTAAGAGTTGATTGGTTTGGATTTTGGTTGGATATAGAAATTTTAATATTGCTCCTCTTACATACTAACTTAATTGTAAATTCAGACTTGCATACTATTTTTGTTGAAATTTTTTCAATCCCATGTCTGACAACCAACTGAACCAAGGTAAAAACCAATGCATTCAAATTTTGCTTGTCTAAAGCCAAAAAAAAAAACAAAAAGGAAATGCCCCTTTTCCTATTTTTAAATCAAATCTTGCTTAATTTGATGTTTAATATATGAAAATAAGCTAGTCTAGTCAATTAAATGTATTTTTTAGCTTCTGACAAAATTGTTAATTTTACTTGCAGCCAGAATAGTCCACTTGCCAAGGGTCATTGATCTGATGTCCAATTAGATATGTCTACCTTTAGCCAATTGGAAAAAAAAACTAGAGAAAGCTGATATGCATGGGCATATCAGAGTTGCATTTCATTTTCAAGATTAAGCACTCATACATTAGCCAAAGTAATCGTAGGATAAGTTAGTATTCTTGGCAATACAAATCTGGCATATTAAAAATCTTCTTCCTGGATATCTCAAAACAGGCAATAAAAATAGGTCACATGGGGAAAGCATACATGTTCTTATCAGTGAACTGTATTACTAGAGTGGACAGAAATAGATGGCATAATAAAAACTGTTTCAGGTCATCTGCAGTGGGTAGATCATGCACAGGTATTCTAGGCTGATGCCAATGCTTTGCACCTGCCCTTACTAAAGACAGGAAACGGAACGTAAACGTAGTACCTTAATGGACCAATTTCTCAGTTTGGCTCCATTGACTTGATCCCAAATTTTGAGTATGCATTATAACTTTTTTGGAGTAGATGTAATTATTTAAGATTGAGGTCAATGTTTAAAATGTTAACTAATTTTTTTTAAAGCTCTGGATCCTTGTTATGTTTCTGAGCAGTTAACTTATCCTATTTCTAAGGAATGGATCTGAATTAAGGTTCCATATAAATGGGCTGATAGAGGTCATTCATGTTCATGATAAGAGATGTAAAGAGTTATGTGGAACATAATTTTGCTGGAAAATGTAATTGTGTAAGGGTGTTTTTTTTTTCAGCTGAAACAGGCAATGCATATGGAGACTCAAAATTGTCATTGTTAACAACAATTATTTATATTTTGGTCCCCTGCCCTTGAAGGTAGTTTACTATGTTAAGTCCATGCATATTTTGACCCCCCCCCCCCCCCCAACATACACAGTATACAAGACATATATTAAATGTAGGTCTACCTTGTTTCATAGGAAGGTCAGAATATTTAGATTGGCCCTTGGGATTCCAATATTTATATGATATTTTTGCCTGTGAAATGTCAGGTCTTGATAATTTTTAGTATTGATGATGATGATTTGGAAATTCATCGTTCATTGCAATTCTAGAACTGATTTAATATTACATTATGGAGAGGGATCTTTTTTAGGAAGTATTATTAGAAATGTGTGTAGAACATAATTATTCAAAGTTGTAGACAGGACAGAATTAGAAATTGATCCATTTATGCATAAATATCAGACTCTTGGTCTGTTTATAAATAGGCTACTGAAATTAGATTGACCTGACCTGAATTTGAACTTATGAGTTGGGTTTCTTCCCTTTATAAAATACTCAGTCATGTTATCATTTAGGTGTAGCCCTGGTTTGGACGCATTCCGAGACAGGAGATCTCTGTAATCCCAGGTGTTCGCTTTCATCCTAGTGGTACTACATTTTTTGTCCGTGTGTACTAAAACATGCAGTTAACCAGTAATATTACTGCACATATAAACATGCCTGAAAATTTTGATAGATGAATTTTTTTGATTGATTTTGATATGTCATGTATGTATATTTACAGATTTAAGTAGCAATTTTAGCAATTGTAGAATAAAACTGCATTCATTTGGCAAGTTGTAGTGAGAAGGATACTACGTGAAAATTAAATAACCTCTAGTTGATCAATAAAGAATTTAACTTATAAGGGGGAAAAACAAAAATTAACATAAGTTATTTCTTTTTAGTAATCTTAAAGGCATTAGTTTTACCATATAACTTAGTCTTAATTTTATACCCATTAAATGCAATACAATATTAGTTGTCATTAATGACTGAATGATAATTGAATAATGAAACTTAAGCTCTTAAGCAAGAGTGTAAATTTCGTACCCACTTGATTCTTGTGCTATGCTATTACATATTAGTTAGAAGAGAAATAATATATGTAAGTCATATCAGAATTTCTTGTTGGTTAGAGGCAGATATTTTCTTTCCTCTTAAAGGATATAGGATTGGGGTAAAACATGCTAAAATTTGAATGAAAATTGGAAGTTTTTTAAACTTTTTCAGTTGCTTTAAATCACTTACCCACAGTACTTATAATGGTAATAAAGTAAATTGAAATAGACAAAGAACAACAATGATAACTGTCTAAATTTAAACATTGCATGATTTCATATATACACTATACACTAAAAGATACTCGAGACATTTCACCCCATTCTCATAGATTAGATCGACCTACATTGGATCGACCTAACTCCCTGGGGGTTCACGCTAAATAGCTGTCAGCCGGGCGGACACGAAAGTTAATTACCCCTTATAGCTTGTAGTAGGCGGGGACGGACACTTAAGGCGGATTATCTGACAGTAATCTAGTGAGACTCCCCGCGGTGATAGATCGATCTAAAAGTTGTGAGAACAGAGCCATTTGATCTGAATTCTGGTTATTCATAGTACTTAATTTAAAAAAGACCAATACATGTGAGAAAATATTTACCAAAATAAAGCCCAAGGAAAAAATTACTAACTTTGTTATTTTATGGTAACATCAGCTTTGTAACAACCCTATCATTTTTGTCACTTTTTTTAGAAACATTTTTGCATTTGAGTAATTTGATTAATAAATGAAAGAAAAGAAATAAAAATAAAGAAAAAAGCATAAGATAGCTTATTTCTTCCTGTTGTCTGAACAAAGTTATTTTAATACTGTTCTTGAGTTTTTTAGTCTCCAGGGCAAATAACGTCAATTCATTTAATAAAAATGAAAGTTTGTTGGAAGAGTTAGAGTATTGTTTAAAAAAAAAAAAGACAAGAAACACTTTTCCAGGATAAAATTCTCTAGAGACCATAAAACGTAAAAGTGATTTCATACTTTAAATAAGAAATTACTAAAAATTGAAATTACTACTATTTGAAAGTTAATACTCAACACTCTAAAAAGATTTATATCCTGGACATTTTCAGATCGTGCAATACGAAGCAGCGGTCAAGAACCTATGTAGCACTGAGTCTGATCAATAATTGTGCTGAGAACGATGCAGATTTATTCCAGAATCACAGCATAGAGATCAGAATAGGCATAGTGTTCACAGGATATTATGCCCTTTGAATATACTAGATTTTCTCAGGGGGTTGGTGGTAACCTTTTAAAGGGCAGTGTGCTCTCCCATTTGTATAATTGCTCATACCAAGCCCAAACTCATATCTCTGGGGCTGCTTGACAAAGTGGAAAGATTTGAAGTTGCTGAAGGCTTCCTGTGGCAAATAATTTGTTTTATCATTCAAAGTGAATGGGAAGGGTATCCCATGTTTGTCAGATGCTATTTTCTGTTTCAAGTTAAGGCATCGGAGGTATCATACATTGCTTATCGCATAAGGATTATTTTGTTTAGTACTTTATGATTCAGCAGAAGGTTAGCAGAAATTATCATAAAGCAGTACAAGGGAGTTGCAGGTATACAAACATTGAAACAAGCATGTGTATGTGCGCAGGCACACATACACACCAGCCTATTTTAAATCGAGTAGTAGATCCAGGCCTGTCCCTTAATACAGTGAGAAAAAAATCCTACATCAAATGTGGAACCCACTACACAAAATTATGTCTTGTATATATTTCAAAAAGTCCCCAAAATTTTTGTGTAAAAAGGGTATTTGGGAAGCTTTACATCTCCCCCCCTCCAGTGCTATAGATGGCAAGCCTCACTTTTGAGTAGAAATAGGGTCCACAAAAGGTACACAGGCCGATACTGATAAGGGACAGAGGCATATTTAATATTCTTAGGACTTCACAAATTTGCCAAACATTACTTAGTGTTCCCAGTTGCATGCCTTCAACCACCCTTAAATAGAAATTATCTGCAGTACTTGCTCTCAATTAAGTCATAAACCCCTAAGGGGGGAAAAAGACACAATTAGGCTCCAAGAAAAGTAAACTGTATTCAAGAAGTGTGTCAAGTGCCACTTTTGTATCTGTGTTTTTTTTATAGGAAGGGGCTCTGTGAGACTGTATGTGCTACAGAGCTGTATGTGCAACTAAGAGAGCATTCACATCGAGAAGAGCCGAGGTCTAGCAAGGCCGAGACCTAAGTATGGCTGACCTACTTGAAAGGAAGACCGCGTAATCCTTTTAAAGTCTCTTAATGAATGTCATAATTTCCCATATATACCAGTGATGAATGAATCCATTCCTACATGCAGAGTTTGTCCTCTTTTTTTTTTTTTTAATAATCTCTTAAGAGGTATAGCCATCTATGAAGGTCCACGTGGTCTGATGGCAAGAATAATTTCCAGAATTATTACCCCTATTTTGGTGGTAAAATGGAATTTATTATATTTCAATTAGTAGTTTACAATGTTTTTTTTTTTTTTTTTTTTGTGGAATGTGAATCTCATTTAAATAGTTACGTATATTTCTTTAAAGAAGCTCTGTGACATTCTTCCTCATTTTATTGAGATGAAATGATAAAATGTGTCAGAAGAAAGAATCTGATATGGTTTCTATGCTGTATGTTTGTACTACCTTTCTTAGCTAATGTTTCTTATAGTTCATGTCTGACGTCAGGTAGGGATCCTTATAGGTGTTAAACTTAAAATAACATGCTTTCATTTTTTATCAATATTGGCTTTCATATTGACATGGCATGCAGCCCTAAATAAAGGTCTGGATAAGAAGTTTTTAGCAGCAGGTCTTTGATCCTTAATATCCTACGAAAGTCTAGAAATAGTTAGATTAAAAATAAAGACTCAATAGCAAGTCTTTTAATGACAGTACTTCAAAGCAAATTGAAATGAAGACCTACTTCACATTGGCCTAGTCTTGGCTAGTGCCAAAAAGTACATTGAAAGTCTATGGCTGTATTCCCAGAGCTTTTAGATCGATCTATCCCTGCGGGGAGTCTCACTAGATTACTGTCAGATAATCCGGCTGAAATGTCCGTCCCGCCTACTACAAGCTGTAAGGGGGTAATTAACTTTCGTGTCCGCTCGGCTGACAGCTATTTAGCGTGAACCCCCAGGGAGTTAGGTCGATCTAAAGTAGATCGATCTAATCTCTTGAAATGGGGTCTATGTTACTAAACTGTTTCAAAGATGTGGAAAAGGATAACCCATTGTTCTAGTCCAGACTTTTAATGTGGTGTAATACATAGAGTTGATGATCTGAAGCAGAACGCATTTTTCCTTTATCTCCATATTGGTTGGGAGCCATGCCATCAAAATTAAATTAGCTTTAGGTGATAAGTTCCAAAATAGCAATGTGTGTATTTTGAAACCATATTTTGGATATTAATACTAGGTTAAATGCTTTGCAGACAAGGTTAAATTGATATCAAAATACATTGAAACTTAACTAAGTGACACCATCACATTGTGATAATCTATTTTTGAAAAGAACCAACTAACTCTGTGCCTTTTGGTTGAATTATAATGCAGTAATGGGTACATGTGAACATAAGCTTATCTAATATTTATTAAACAGTGGCAGACATAGGTAGAGAATTAGAAAAGTCCTCCTTCAGGAATGATGTTGAATCACAGCTGTTATATAAATTAGTTCTTTCTTTCATCTTGGGGGCTCCATTGTGTGGTGAAAAATATGGACAGTAATGGAGGGGTAAGATAATGTAGTCCTGGGGTGAAAAAGATGCTGAGGAAAATTAATTTAAAATCTCCAAGTAATTGTAAAACAGTATCCAACACTGGTTAGCTTGCTTATTTGTGTGAACATGCTGTATATAATGCTGCATAACTGGAGTCAAATTGAATTTAACACTGACGTCATTTAGGTGTAGCTAGGAACACAGAACGGAATGAGAAAGGGCATTCCATGACCCCAGGAGACTACATATTAAATGTACACGCTGTAGAAATTTAGTAACAAAGTCAGTGGTTATTTTTGTGACTGAAGGCCTGTAATACTGAATAAATGAACCTGAACTTGATTATTTATGTATGTTTTACTTGTAAATTGTAACTTTGGTTCATGGTCAAACTTTGTTAATTTCTCAAGAATTATTTTTAAGGAATAAAGCCTGGCCTTGTTTTATCTAAAAAGTGCTTTTCATGATTGATAATGTATTCATATTGTCAGGCTTATTTGCCAAAGGTAGCGTTGTAAAGTGATTTTACTTAATTTTTTAAGCTACCATTAATTTTTACATTATCAGTATTTTGGGCACATGGTATGTTCTATTAAAATTATGTTCATTGATACTATAATGAAATGCATCTATTTGTTAATATCAGGTGAAGTCCAGTTGGAGTCCAGTGTTGAGGATGGGCAAACACAATTGCCAGTTAATGGAGAACAGTTACCATGTTCAACAGAAATGGCAGCAGGTCTTACTACAGCCACTGCAGATACAGGTCTTGGTGGCCAGGAAAACACAAACAACCCCACAGACAAAGGACACACAGGCATTCTCCCCCTTGCTGAAACAAAGGAGGTCCAGCCTGTGCAGCAGTCACTGTCAGATAAAGACAGTCTCACCACTGCTTCTAATACTATCACCACCACAGACATGTTAACCCAGGAAAATTCTATACGTGATGTAATATCATCCGTGCACCCTGGTCACGTTCAGGGGGAGCTAGTCACACAACCACCAGAGGTCAGCACAATTGACCACATAATTAGCTCTACATCGGAAGATCCACGCACTGTGCTCTCTGCTCCCACCAGTGCTAACACCCAGGGGACAGAGGTGACCTCAGAGGACACTATAGTGCATAGCAGTGCTGCTGATTTAACTGGGATGACCAGGGTGTTTGTGGATGAACAGGGCGTTATAATTGGGCAGGAGCATTCCCCATTGACAACAGTGGAGGAACACCAGACAGATCAGCCTCAGTTGGATGGTGATAGTATTGTTCCTACTGAAGCTGAAGCATCCCTCAACCATCAGCAAGAGCACAGGCTGCCAGCCAATGTGATGGTTGTAACAGCAGATGGGAGCCAGGAGTCTTACACCATACAAGACACAGAACACATCACCCAGGCAGAGCACCATGTGGACACCACAGTAGAGGGTGATGGCGAAACTGACCACATGTCCAAGGTGGTCCTTGTGACTGACCCCAACACTGACATGACCGCTGAGACTTTTACCATACAAACCTCAGAAGATGGCTCACAGCAGCCCATTATCATTGCCACCAGCCCTGAACAGGATGGGACCGTCACTATTGTTACAGACAGTGGCAATGGAACGGACATTCCAACAGAAATATCTGCTGTTGTCATTTCTTCTGATTCAGAAAGTATACAAACTATGGCCAACCAGCAACACATTGTTGCCCCTGTTGTGGTGCCTCCGGTAGGCCATGATGGGTTCCCAAGAGCAACACCCATCATGTCCACTATAAACCCTGCTGGGCACCATCACCTGCAAATACATGGCATGGTGTCACAGCCTTTGGAACCACCTCCCAAGTGTATGGTCTGTGGAGACAAGTCTTCAGGTGTACATTATGGTGTACTGGCTTGTGAGGGGTGCAAGGTGAGTCTGTTGCCTTGACTTGTAATTTTGTTGCAGCAGCCCACTTTTGCCCATTTTGCCCTCTTTTGCCCTTAACTTGGGTAATGGCTTTCAAGATATCACCTCATATTGTTTATAGACCAAAACAAAGGGGACATCTTTAGAAGTACTGAAGGTCTGAGGGAACTGCACTACAAGTAATCTGCAGGTCCTCCTAATGTGCTGGTCCGAACTAAGTAACCCATAAGCCTATGTTTACATGTGATTTGTCTTCATTTATTGTATTATCATGCATTATCAAAAATTTTGCTGGTCGTTGGGCTCTTCAGCAGTCATGACCGATCAGAGTGACAGTTTCCCTTGCCTGTAGATCTTTACGATGAATGTAATAGCAGTTCACAGGTTTAGCTTTGATGTGCATTAAAAAAAAGAGATGTTGAAAAGTATATAATCATGAAAGACACAATTTTATATGTTTTTAATGTTGGCATTTTGTAATTTAAAAAAAAAAAGGGGTGAACTTTTGTGGGCTTCTGTGGGATACTGGAAAAATTGTTTTTTAAAAGTTATGAGTTAGTTTTAATTTACAAAGATCTCAAAAGTTGCATATACAAATTGATGTCATTATAATTATATAATGTATGTCATTTTTATCATCAGGGATTTTTCAGACGAGCTTTACAGGACATTGGAGATCCAAGTCGTAAAAAATGCTATTACAATAAGAACTGTGAAGTGACAGTACAAACTAGGAACAGGTGTCAGTATTGCCGCTTACAAAAATGTCTAGCTCTGGGGATGTCACGTTCAGGTAATGTTTTGAGAGTGTTTTTCTTATCAATTTTGAGTGAATAATGGCAATGTTAACATTTCCTCTGGTATTTATTCCACTTAAGATTAAAGTTTTGCTGATACTTTAAATGTTTGGTTTTATAAAAGACAAAAACAAAATTATACCATGCAGTAGTCTTGGCTATGACATCTAATCAAATCAACCAAAATTTTTTTAGTGTGCTGTTGAATTTATTTTGATTACTTACTTAGATTATGAGAGATTTGCTGACACAGAATCATTCTTTTAAAAGCTCTTGTTTTATTATAGCTGCCAAACTTGGTCGAAGATCCAAAAAGATGCGTGAAATGATCAATGAAGCATGTCGCACCATTGAAGACTCACAGACAGCACAAGCTTTACATGGACTTCTCAGCCTCAAATCTGATTCCGGCCCAGGGGATTTCCCATCCCTTCTGAAAGCTGTTGGAGAACAGATGTCGCAACCAGGGAGAGCAGGTACAGTAGCAGCGGGACTGGCTGTTGCTACTACAGGGGCAGGAATGGGAGCTGGAGGGGATGTTGAGAATGGAGAGAAAAAGGCACTGCCAATGAAAACACCAAAGTCTACACCCAAAAGAACCAAGAAAAATGAACAGAAGGTCACTCCAACATCAACGTTTGCCGCTGCTCGAGCAGGAGTTGGAATGCAGTTGGCTCCCATATTGGCGACTCCACAGTACCCTCCTATGCATCAACCCATCATGATGGTGCCACAGTTACAACCTGGGCAACAAGCACCCATGATGGATCTGCTGATGAAAATGCAAGCAGCCAATCAGACGGTTGGACAAGCCACTGCAACTACGGCAACAACAACCAGCCCAGGAGCCCAAACAACCAGCAAGGTCAAGGCTGACCTGAGGAGGATAATACTAAAACAGCACCAAAGTAAAGATGGTTCCAATATCCAACAGTACATTATACAAGAGGATGGAGGAGATGGATCACAGGTTTATCCTATAGATTTGGCTATGCGCACATCAGATGGAGCAAATTTACAGTCTATTCCTCAGCCATTACAGTTAACAACAACGACCACTGGTCAGATTGTTAGTTCTCAAGAGACTGTTGTTACAGCAACAACATCACAGCCTGTTGTTATTGCAATGAAGCCAGCTAGTTCTAAGACCACTGACCAGGTTTCAAGAAGTCCACTTAAGAAAAGGCCAATCCGGCAGCCCTCACCCTTACAGTCCCCTATAGAAAAGCGAGCAAAGATGGATGGCCCGTTGGATCATATGGGCAGTGACAATCAGTTGGCAGAGAATCTCCAACAAGAGAGTCAACAGCTTCCACAACATATTGGTAACCATGTGTCTTTGACACCTCAGTCACAAGAATACAATTCATCCCAGCTGGAAGGCATTTCCAGTCTGATTTATGAAGCTTATAATGACACTTTGAGGTTCACATATAAGAACACACAGATGCTGAGACAGAATTTGCCAGTTGAAAAGCATGTTGAGAATGCAGCAAATGTAAGTTACTTTTACCTTTTAAGTTTCAGTAATCCATTTTATTTTCTAAACTGGCCAGGCATTTTATTGTGAATGAAAAATGTGAAGCTTTTTTTTTGCAATCGGTTTAAATGATGATAATTGGTGCATTCAACAACCATTTACTTAAATTGAATGACTGTTTATGAGTCTTTTATTTTCTCCTAATTTATTGTGTATATAGCATGATATTCTACCCTTCTTATTATAATTAAACTTCAACATTTCCTCATCTCAAGGGTAATGAACCAAGTGAAGAGGCCATAGCCAGAAAGCTGGCCTCTGCATGCTGGACAGGCTTTGAGTCCACCTTTTACAACAAGGCAGTACCAGAGGTAGTTAAGTTTGCAAAAAGAATTCCTGGCTTTAGCAGCTTGGATACTGATGACCAGATATTGCTGATTAAAGGGGGTTGTTTTGAGGTAAGACAATATGTTAGCCAATATTTTAAGGGGTGTTCAAATTGATTTTTTTTTCTGTGAAAATATATTTATAATAGGAAATATTTAGTAAATATCTGACTTTTATATTATGGGCAATTTATTGTTGTCTGGCTTTATCCATTATTTAGTTGTTTTAAATGATGTTCAATCTGTGAATTTTATTTAATTCTTTGACATTATCTAACATTTTGTAGGCATTGACTAATTTTATTGTGCAGTCCAGATAATTTTAATCTTTGCATAATATTTTGTGTGACACATTGTGGTATTGGAGCTATGTTTACATGTGTCTTTCATAATTTGCTTGGAGTAATTTATGAATTAGTCTACACATGGAGCATGGCATTTTCATTTCGATTATCTTTGAAAATCAATACCGTATATTGGTTTTCAAATTGCAGGTTTGATTTCTGTTTACATGGGTTAATTTGTCAGTCCTGTTGTTAAATTGTCTCCTCTGTTTCATCACATATCTAAATGCATTATGTAAATGTTGCCATTGTTTATTATTTACAGGTAGCGTGTGTAATGAACTCTGCATTCATAGATGTGGATGGCAACACCATGCTAATATTGGAGAATGGAAAGAATTACACCAAGGAGAATCTCAAGTCAGAGTTTCTGCTGGGCGAAAACTTTGTGGAGTTAATGTTTAATTTCTCCTTACGTTTCAATGTATTCAAGCTAACAGACTCTGAGACAGCTCTTTTTGCTGCTTTGATGTTAATATCTCCAGGTATTGGCTGTTTTTGTATTCATGTGATAATTTGTCTGTTGGAAATCATTAACAAAGCCGATTGTACTTAAGCAGTATCCTCATTAATTTCTTTAAAACATTTGCATTCACTGTGTAATTGATTTTTAATTGTCTTTTTTAATATAAAATACCAGTTGATATTTTATAAACTGACATGCTTTGAGTTTACTTACAAAAAATAATACAACAGAATTGTGCCGATCTTTTATTGTAGAACGTCCAGGCATCAAGAACAAGGAAGAGGTATCCAAGTTACAGGAGCTGATCATCCAGACGTTACAGGGGCAGGTCAATATGAATCACCCTACAGAGGTTGGCCTTTTTCCGCGTCTTCTCATGATTATCTCCAATCTCAGAGAACTCAATGTAGAGCACAGGAGAATGCTATCGTCTCTTCGGGGAAGGATTGTGTTCACTGATGGCTTGCTCATTGAAATATTTGGCAGTGATTGAATGCTGTCTGTGTGAGAGATAGTTAATATGAAGTGTGTGTACATACCTGTCTGTACTCAAGATCATAATATAAAGGGATGTACCAGTTATCAATATAATTACAGTAAAGCAGTATTACTAATCGTGCTAGTGCATATACCTCCACTAAGACTAGTATATTGCTTATGTGAGTTATGGCAGTGGAAAATTGATTGGCATATTGCAGATTAAATGGTGACAAAGTGAATTTATATCTACCATAACAGTACGTTCACTTGCACATATATTGTTGAAGTTCATCAGATTTCTTAAATGAAACTGTTATTTGCAATTTGACTGCAATTGTGTTCGTTGTTAGATGAATCTCATTGACTGTGAATAGGGCTATGTATCATACTTGTGTCATTAACTCTGGATACCTAGTGGCGTGTTTTAGAATCAGGACTGCTTTCTTATGCTAAGTCTGTAGAATTTGATGTTTGTTTATAAGAAATACAATGGTTCATTGTCAACCCTAAATACATACCTTTTCCTTGTATCAGATCTTGAGTGTAAATATTTAACAGATATTGGATAATAAGTAGTGGAATCTGCTTTAAGAGGAGAATGGAAGTCACAATATTATAAGGGAATGTCTGAATGCACAAATTTTTACAATTATGATTAGTTTGCTGTTAGTTATCAATATGATATGAGGCTTCCAATCAAAACAGCTTGTAGTTAACAAAAGAAGTCATATTAAACAAAAGCCTGGAATTTCAGATAACAGCCCATCTAATCTTTACTGAATCACATTCTCACTCACTGGATGTGATCACATATTATGACCATGTTTTTAGATATTTAACTATGCAGAGTACAAAATGTGAATTGAGGTTGTATTTAGTTTGTATTTATATTGGGTTTTATTTATTTCAATAGGCCAATATATATGTGTGTATGCTTTATATTATTGCTTTTACATGCAGATAAGGAAGTCTCTATATGCTGGTCATTTCTGTTTTGTCTTAATAAGGAAAATGATTACATTGTCTGTTAAGGCACTATTGTTAATATTGTTACATAGTATCTGCATTTATAAAATGTGTGTAGTTAAATAGGCTTGTAGGGTCAAGGAAAACAATGCAAGGAACAGATGCTACTAGCTAAAAAAGAGTGAACTGTGAACATTGAAATGAAAAGAAGTTCCGAAAGACGAAAAATGGGAAATTGTTTTAGTTTCTGCTAAATTTAAGTTGTGATGTTTTAAATCTTAAGTAGCACTTTGTCAGCATTTCTTAAAAGAAAACATGCTTACATTCTAAGTATTTTGCCCCAGGAGAAGCAAAGACGAGCTGTTGGAAAGAAAATGTAGTTTGCCTGACATTTGCTGTATAAATTGGAGAAATCAGAAAGTCAAACAAGAAAGGTAATTCACTAAAGACTTTTTGAAAAAAAAATTTTAACTTGCTGCAGTTTTGAGATATCACGTAAACTCTCCTGAACTATGTTTTGTTTGCCCACTTACCATGAATGTTTTTTGACAAATTTGTAAGTTGTCATTTTAAGCCTATACTAAGTTGGCCTGTGCATTCATTCTACTTCATTATGTCATAGCCTTAAGCATAGTTGAGAAGTTAGGACTAAATTTGTATAATTTTTAGCTCATGATTTTTATATTCAGACAAGATTTAATTGTCATGAATGAACTAAGGTGAAGAATGAACTGGCTAGGAGATGTTTCATTGCTAATTGTGTCATGATGTTATGTAGAAGTTGTTTTTTTCTGTTTTATTGATGATTTTTTTAACTGTCCCTTTTAGGAAAGAAAAATATTTGTCATAACTACAATTATACAAAATAATAAAAGTAATCTTGGTACTCTAAAAAGAAATTTAAGATCAGTCACAGATCTGGAATTATCTCTTTTGGCTAATTTTCATTTTTTATTTTATTCCAAATCAAATGACACAACAGAAGTACAATTTTATAGTATGGGCAAAAAAGGCATTGTCATTCTTAGAAACAAATGAGGCCAGAAGATGCGTCTCATACTCTGTTCAGGGATGATGGGTGAAATCTTAAATTCCAATCCTAATTTTTGCAAAAAGAGTTCATTCAGCAAGAACACATTGTCAAGTAAATTAAGAAAATGCTTTCAGTTATTTTTGAGGTAATTCATTTATTATGTTGATATCAGCAGATTATAAGGCTAAATGTTGCATATTGAAAATTTCTAATTTGGTTCAAAAATAGCATATTGAAAAAGCAGTTTTGAGAATATTTGATGAAATTAAATATGCTCACAGGAATCTTGTGGGTGAAATATAAGTCAACAAGTGCTACTAATCCATATGAAAACTCTAGTAGAACTTGGGTTGAATTTTGAACATAAAAGTTTGTGCGGTGCATTGATATTAGTTGTTACCTGAAGTTTCATGTTGAGCATGCTAATTGAACTGTTAGCCTTGAAAATGATCTTTTAGGTACCAGACACATATTAAGCAATATGCAAAGATATAGAGGCTTGTATTAAGACCTTATTTTCTTCAATTGACAGGCTTTGCTTTCACACAACCTAATTGATGTATATAGTTATTTATTGTAGGCAAATAAATGTTTGTTGTGAAACTAAATTGTGCTTGTCTGATCGTCTTTCTTCTTTAAAAAGCAATTAGTGTAAGAGGAGATAAATAAGAATTTATCATCTTTGTAACCACATCTCTTGGATTTTAGTTTTTTGAAAAAAGTCTCTTTCAGTAATTTATGATTTATTAATATGACAAGATCTTTTTTATTTTCATAAATGTCTCTTTATGATAACATTCTAAATGCTTAATCTAGTATCAATATAAAGATTTCATTACCTTCTCCATTATCCAAGATGTTTTTGTTACTTTTGATTAGTGGGTTTGTCTGTGTACAGCATTTCACAAAAAATAATCAAAGGACTTTGATAAAATGTTCGATCACAAGTGGCCCAAAGAATTAATGATTAGATTTTGATGATGGTCCATTAATTGATAAATTATTTAATAATTAAATTTTCAGGATAGGTCACATGTGTGCCAATTTTATGAAATTTTCAGGATAGGTCAGATAAAGGAAGAAGCGATTAGATTTTGGTGATCATCCATTAATTAATAAAATAGTTAATTAACAAATTAATCAATTAATTAATTTAACAATTTATTAATTAATCCAATAATTGTCTTGGCGGTGTGAGTGTTATTCTAGTCATAAACTCTGGATGGCTCGTCTTGAATAGCAGAAGATAGTAAGAACCCGGATGCTACCCCATTCAATAGCATACCTTTTATTCCGTTTTAAAATGACGTACCGTAGATGACTATATTGAACATTTGAGGGATATGGTATACTATCGCCATTTTGTATGTGAAGCGAATATTTTACCATATACAGTACAAAATTGAGCTGAATATTCCCAATGAGGTAGCTGTGATGAGCTAAACTATGGGATCATCGGAGAAGGAGAGGTCATGTGAGATTCTTGGAATCGACCAAAGTACGCCAGAAGGTACGATTTAAGAGATTGCAGACATTTTTCCGGGGTAAACAAACTCGCCGAATTAGGTCAACCCATCAAGTATGTATCGGTATGATGTGCAATTGTGTGTAATTTCTTCGTAAAATTTTAACACGTTTGCTCTCAGGAAGGGAAGATATTAACAGAACAGCACAAATATACTTAATGGCTTCATTGATTTTGCATGTGGTCTTTGCAATCTGTAAATATTGTGTTCATCCGTGACCTGGCGGTGTCACATATCTCACACTGTCAACGATTATGAAAGTCGTTTTAATCCTATAAAACAAATGATTTAATCAAAAAACAGATAACCAATCAATCAGCTGTCTAGTGCATTAATGCATTCGTATTCGAATAATAAGGATTTCTGGATATTCAAAGTTGTAGAATTGTCACTATTGTAAGAACTGTCAGAACAGATAAACCCCACCCCCTTGCCCCTTAAGCTTGGACTTATTCTTGGGATAATAGAAATTGTCATTTTAGTCAGAAGATATGCCAAGCTTATTACTCAGGATATTAGATAGTTTGGGGATAATTGTCCATGAACATATTGTCATATATTGCTTGTTTCTGTACATGTTTCAAGCTGATTGAAATCATGGACATTCTGCTGAAAAAACAACTTGACAATCCAGGTGGCAAAATAAGCACAATTATGTTGAAGTGATGCCTTTACTCACATTTTTCCATAGGAACTAGCAACTAGGGAAACCTGGTACTTAGTAATATAATTTGAGATACATAATTAAACAGAAAACATATCACAAAACAATCTAATCACTTTCTTATGGTTTAATGTTTGAGATGCAATAATATCTCTAGACATTTCCTATGCAAATCTTTCCTCAGCTTTATAGACTTTTTTTTCTGCACAGACATGCTGAAACTGTCGGTCAGATCGGTCATGTCTGGCAAAATTTATCTGGACCGGTAAAAAATTGGACGTGGTCGGTCCAAAGGACCGACAAGAGTTTTAAGAACCACCATTTTGAATTTATAGTCATCATTCGACATACTTCACTAATAACATTATATAAAGCTCAAAGCATTTTTTCCCTTCCATTTCAAACTGACCACATTCACAAATGAAGTAAGCTACCTAATCGTAGTATCTGTCTCAAACAAATAGGGTGATTTTCAGTCCGGCAAAAATCCATTCGGTCCGGCAAATTTTTCATTACTGCTGGTCCAAATGCCCGGCCATTCTGAAAAGTTTTCAGCATGTCTGCTGCAGTTTAAGGAGAAATACAACTGTGTCTTAGACAATTATATCTCTTAGACACAATTTGATGTACAGAGAAAAGAGCACATTTGTTGCCATTTGGAAAGTGCTTGGTAAGTAAGAAAAAATGAACAGAACAGAACAGAACAGGGCAAACTCTGGTCTTCTGTTTAAAGGGATAATTACTCTTTGTATGAGATCTATATTTCACAATAAAAACATTGTGAATAACTCATAGAAATATAATCTATTCTGTTTTACCACAAAAATGGCAGTTATAGCTATTATTCTGATATCTGAGCTTGTCTTTAGACCACATGACCTCCATTGATGGCTATACTCTGTTAAAATCTCTTAAGAGATTTTAACAAATAACCAAACTTTTTAGAAAAAAAACAGGGACTAACTTTGAATGTAAAAATGGATTCATTAACCATTGTTAAGTATGGGAAAATTGTTGTTTACTCCAGGAAAATTCATTTTTTGGCCGAAATGAAGAGTTATTATCCCTTTAACTTACCAGCGTGGACATTTGCTGATTTTAGTAATTTTTTAATCTGCACCCTGGTTGACTGGGAATGGGAAAGAAGCATTTACAGTGCACTTGTATTTTCTTGACATCTTGTTTTTATCTACTATTTTTTACCATCCCATGATTGTACAGGCCGTACAACTCCTCTACAATGGCAATAAGTTGGATAAGAGAGGAATAAATTGACTCTTCATTGTTAGATATTGTAGTCACATGGATTACTGAGTTAATCAGCACTAAGGTAAACCACCACAACTTGACCGAAATTACCCTTTTAGACACATGGTTGTGTACCAAGTAAGTTTTCTGTCAAACCTTGACAGGTAGACAGTGAGCTACCTGGCTGAAGGCCAAAATATAAGATTCTTCACATGCACTGAATGTTTATATATATATATAAGTAAATTAAGGGGATAACAACTCTTCATATTAGATTCATATTTCACAATAAATACATTATAAACAACTCATAGAAATATAATAATATATAATATAATAATTCCATTTACCACCGAAACAGCAGTCATTGGAATTATTTTGTTAATAAAAACCAAACTTTTTAGAGGACAAACTCTGCATGTCAGAATGGATTCATTTACCATTGGTAAGTATGGGAAAATGGTGTTTACCCCAGGAAAATCTGTTTTTTTACGAGCAGTTGTTCTGTGTTTTATTTTAGACATTTAGACGTTCTTTGCTGTTTGACGCCAATTTGCCTAAGCACAAATTTTTGTTGCAGTGCACCAATATATGCTAAATTTTTTTAAAAAATTACTCACTGACACTTCCCATAAGAAAGTTATAACAAATTTATTGGCTACTCCAAACTAGCTAACATTTTATGGATAGACAAATAAGGTGTCAGGTGCATCAAGATCACTACAAACATATACTAGAACAGAACGGATGACAGTAAGAATAAAAGATCAAATTCAGATGCTCTGTCTGTCACGTAAAGCACACATCTGTTATGATTAAAGCATGCACAGTCAACAAGTGTGTCGTTTCAGTATCTTCTCAATACGTTTTGAGCAACCACATTGTCTGCTGGAATTTTTAAAAATAATCAATAGATGGTTGATTTCCAAGAGAGGATCCATTGTCAACAAACACTCAGACGTAAACACAACCATAATATACTTTTAAAATGGTGTAGCATTTGCTCAGTGGATAATAACACACATAATATTATAGGGGATAGATGGCTTCAATAAAATGTATGGCCACATGTGAGGGTCCCATGGGGGGAGGGGGTGTGATCACAGTTTATGGGAAACAAAATCATCAGTTCACAAATCACAGTAAATAAAACTTTATCAGTATCTCACCAATAATGTACATCAGAAATCCTGTAAATCCTTGGGTTTAATGACTTTGTTTCATGAATGCCAGAGGATAAAAAAGCATTCTCAAGCATTTGCATTCACAAGTCGCAGGAATGGGGTGTTTTCACGGATAACATAAATACCCAATTGGACCCTCACACATGGACAAGATCTGCGAAAGACAAAATTTTACAGAAAAATTCCAAGGAGGTGTTCATTCTAATAAAGTAGTATTAACCCTGGATTTAGGTTTTAGGTTGTGGTTTAATCACTAGTGCTTTTTAAATTAAATTAAAATTAAAGTGACAGTATGACCATGTTTCTGTGATTTGACCATCAGGTACACCACTTTTTCTTTCCAGCAAATCCTCTCACCCCCACTCCCAATTCATTTACAGTGGGTCCTAAGGTTAAAACAGTCTCAACATATGAAGTTTTGTGGTTATGGTTGATTACCTCTGCCAAGGAGGTTATGTTTTCACCCCTGTTTGTTTGTCTTTCTGTCTGTCTGTCTGTTTATCATCATCATCATAACTCAAAAAGTTATGGATGAATTTCAATGAAATTTTCAGGGTAGGTCAGAAATGGGTTAATTTAGAAGTGATTAGTTTTTGGTGGTGATCCGGATCAATAATCAAAAATAAAAAAACTAAGTTATGGACGGATTTTGAAGAAATTTTCAGGAACTGTCAGAAGTGGGCCAAGGAACAGATGATTAGTTTTTGGTGGCGATCTGGATCAATAATCAATCAATAATCAAAAATAAAAAACTAAATCATTATAAAATGAAAATTTAGGGGTGAAACGGCATTAGGTGGAGACTTTGCTGCCTTGGCAGAGGTCTGCGCTCTCGGAGTGCTTTTCTAGTTTCTCATAAGATGTTGAGCCTAGTTTCAAATCAAATACTACTTTACATGGTAACTTGTTGCTGATCACTACAGTCCTAAGTATGTTTTTATGTCATAGATGTCCTTGGAGATTTTATGTCCCTAATGCAACTGTACTGTTGCATAAGCATAGCCGAGTTATTTTTGTTCTTATTTTCTTCATGTTCTAATTAATACTTTGGAACAGAAGCACTGTAAAGCAAATTAGTCTAGGATCCCCTCATACACATCTCAGTATTCATATGTCAGTAATTTAATTTGTGCATTGTGTTTGTAACGCATTTGTTATCTGTACGAAGACTGAAATTAGGAATGTGCAAATCTACATAGTGTGTGTGTGTGTGTGTGTGTGTGTGTGTGTGTGTATTTTTTTTTTTTTACTGCCACAGTGTGTACTGGTGTTTTGTGTTTGTAAATAGTAAAACAGTGCTGATCATGTGGTAGCCTTGCTATACATTGTGAACTTCACCTGGCATAAAACCTGCTTATAAACACAAAATAATGCAAAAAAGATATATATTAATTAACTTTTATTTAATTTTAACTGGAAAACACTGCAACAAGGAAAAAATTAGATGATGTTGGTTTGGCTTTTATACAGATGTTGGTAGTTGCTATACTTGGTTCTAACAGTGAAATATGCTGCAGTAGACCCAGGGCTGAACACATATTTGTATGATCACTGTTGTTGTCAGGGCTACAGGCATTGACTGTCAGCATATTATAATTACATTAGCACTGTGCATCATATAGTAATTTGCATGGAGAGGAAAAAAATGTATATTTCTGAATTAAGTCCCAAATACGTCTGCACATTTTTTTAAAGATCTATGGTACAGAGTTTGACTATTTGACCAATCATTATTGGCTGATTTTGGTGCATTTATTTTATGTCATTTTATAAGATTTGTATTAATTACTGTTTCAGTGTCCTGTCAATGAATGATATGACTCAATACAGATACTGAATAAAAACAGATATATTCTGAAGCATGTACACTAACAATTTGATACCCAAAATGTGAACATGTAATATATGACACTTGTTTAGTATGACCTTCAACTTTTTTATGTTACATTCTTAGTTGACGTAGACATAAATACAGTGTTGCAGGTTGTTTTGACTTTTTTATGTACAGACACATTTGTGTCTGTACATTTATCCATCACCTGCATCTGTTATTGCTGTTGTGGACTTTCAAGGTTAAAAGGATAAGTGTAAAACAGTTCCATCTTATGTCTTCAATCTTACAGAACTGATGAATACTCTTTAAGTACATCTCAAATTAGAAAATCAGCTTGATCATTTTTCCAAGAGTTATGCTGTTTTTTTCCCTTTTACAGAATATTTTATCCATTGTTATACAAATAAATAAAAACTGATACTTTTTGTTTACAAACTTACAGATATGCTGAATATTGATATTGTTGGTGCTAAGCATTATTTAATTCTGCACTGCCATTGCATCTAAATTGACAAAAACCTTATTTTGGGCACTAACACCATTTTACTAGTAACCATTTAAGGAAAACAATGCAACTTCTTTAACATACAGAAAAGATTTATAGGACTGAACTACAGGTTGAGTTGAAAAACCAGCTTGATTCCATTCTTTTTCTGGAAGTTATGCAGTTATATGGGACATTTTCATTTTTCACATATTGTCATTTTCAATGTGGGACTTTGAACTCCCATGGGCATTAAACAGTTTAGTACTTATATTTTTTGAATGTCCTTGTTAGATAAAGTAGATGATAGCCCTCTAGAACCTCACTGAACTATATTCTGCACCTGTTATCACAGGTGGTGGTGGTGGTGTCTTCAATACTTACCATTTCACCTCATCTGTACTCTGGCTCATGTTGTGATTAGCTGGGTTGGGTACAACATTGTCTTTCACCAAGCCTAAATATATGCATACATGTGTTGGAACTGGTATTTTCATCTGAAGTAAGGGTTTTAAAGGTTATTTAAATGAATATTTTGTCAGTTTATTGAAAATAATCCTGCATGTAGTGGCAGTGTACACTCTCAGAATCCTAGAGAAAATAGTGCTTATAAAAACTATAATTGATATAATTTGAATTTTATTATTATATATTATACTTATAAATTATATATTCTATACTTTCATTCAAGAAAGGAAAAAGTGATCATACTAGGTTACTGATTTTTTTTTAATGATGTCTATTAAAAACAGGACTGTATGCATTTCTAGTTTTAAGTAAAAACATAATTTCCAGATTATTGATATTTGTAAAGTCTGTATAATATGAATCTCTCATTTAAAATATTATATGATGATTTTAAGTGACTTTCTTCTCTGTTATTCTTGATGTTTTTTGTATGACTATATCATTTTTTTACAAATATATTTAATAATGACATCATTCCATTTCGTATTGCCTCTACAAACAACTATAACACTGCCATTCGATAACAGCCACAGTGTCATGGCTAGGATACAATATGTGATGTCACGGTACTAATTTTTTTGGAGAAACAAAATGCCCCAACACACAGCAGTATCATAATTTGAACAGTAGATTCTCATTCTTCAATAAATTATAACTCACAGTACAAACTTTCAGGTTGATTTTACATGTATTTTGTTAGCAGACAGATATTTATTTTCATAGAGTTATTTTATGCAGGATAATATCATTCGTATACATTCTGAACGAAAACATTACTGATGTTTATTTTATTTCCCAAACGGCATTTATTTAATTCAAACTCTTTACAATATAGCTTATCCAATATAACAATTAAAATCTAGTGACCCCTTGCCACGGCCTTTGCTCGCTCGTCACATGCAAGGGATTTTACGCAACACAAAGGTATTGGCGATATAGTTGCTCTATCAAGCAGTTAAATTATCGTTTTGTTGTTGCATTCTCTCTAAATTATTTCTTTTTACACGACTGGTTCTTTTCTCATGATTGATTGACTTGCGAGAGAACGTCTATTTATAACCTATGGTCTGTCTGTGTGTCGCTCCTCGTCTCGCCATTGGCTGATTAGTGCAGTGTTCAAGGCAGGGACGTTACATGCCCAGCTAAACTGTGATAATGCAGCACAATGTTCCTTTTCTCTCTTGCCAAGTTGTGACTTTGTGATCTCAGGGGTATCTAGTCATTCCATACAACCTTCGGGGTAAGTTTCAGCTGTTTTAAAGTCCTAATGAAGCGGACGATCAGACGGGAGAGGTTGTTGTTTTGTTGCACAGATAGGTGACCTTTTTCTCCGCAGTCCACCATATTGAAAATGTGCCTGGATATCTCGTAAGGGAAACTGTATTGGTTGAGGAATTGTACGGCTCCGTGAGTTCAATTGATGTGTAAATTTTGTAAATCTTTTTCCAAGTACTCAAACACCAAGTCTTGTACGTTTGTCGCTGTGGGAATTGAGTGAGTGCGTCGTTTGGTCACGTTTTTGATGTACCTGTCTAATCTTTGCATTCGAAAAAGATATCAGCTTTTGGTTAAATAGCTTATATGGAATTATAATCTCGCTCAGAGCGCGAAATGACAGATGTTGAACAACTATCCCTTTGTATTTGTTGTCTGCAATAAGATATTTCTATATTAAAATAGTTATTTTTACAGATGAAGACTACTGTGTCTTAATTTGATTGGGCTATCAGCCGCCATATTGACCTAGATTTTAAGCGAGTTTGCCGTTTTTTTTTTATTATGATGCTATCATTCGCCAAGGAAAGAATTAGAGGAATGTTTATCAGTGGTTATCTCACAATATGATATTAACATATTGTTTTGCTGAAAGGTTGATTTATGTTATGAATATTTAATACTATTGTCATATTGAATATTATTAACTGATATATATAAATCAATGGGTAAGTCAGCGACAGATTGCTGTTTTTAAAGCATTGCTCATTGACACTTGAAGGTAGAACTGTTTAAATAATGGTAACGTGCACTATGTTCATGGGTTTATATTTAGAAGCACACACAGAAAGGATTTACTGCAGTGCTTTGGAAACTTGGCAGTTTTCCTAGTGATATGATTGAACTAAATAAAGGTGTGGGTAACCATGAATCACACAGGTTTTTTTTATTTATTGAGAACGTAAATGTGGTGAAGAGATGTAGCTTGCACTGTTTCAAAATTATGTTTGTTATTTACACAACTGATTGAAAAAGGTATGGTGAAAACCTTATTTTCATCTGTTTGACAACTAGAATTAATTTAGAATCATAGATCTATCAATTTCTGACTCAGCACATAGCATTTTAGTTTAAATGTAATCACTTATCATGTGATAAACTGCTGAATGATTTTTTCTTTTTCTGTCTTTGTTTAATTCAGTTATTTAAGCTTCCAATTTTGTTTTAGAACCTGTAGCTAAGATATTGTAGACATTTTAACATAGTTAACTGACAAAAATAAATGTAAAATCAAAGCTCTTTTGTTATATTGTTGGTCCTACAGTTCTTGTGGGTATATTTATATAGGTTCTTGATCTGGAAAGAAAGTATTTACCAAGCCTAATACAACACAGTGTAAGATTTAAGTAGAATGTATCCAAGGACCTGTATTGGTCTAAGAATTTAGGCAGATAAGTTGTCTACATGTAATCACTTCTTGATGAACTTCACAATCCAGAGGTCAGTAGTTGAAGGAATGGCAGAATTTAAAAAGTAAAGGGACTTCCTAATTTTCCCAGATTGTAATGACGATTTTGGAGTGGGGGAGGATCAAGGAGGTTTGTTAGTCAGAGAAAGGTACTCCTGGAATTTTTTTTCTTTTTTTCATGGGGGTGGGGTGTCTTTATACTGCACATCTTTAGTTATAAGGATGCATCGCACTAATGTATTCTCCTCCCAGGCCCTTATGATTTACATTCTTTTTCCAGTTGATATCCAAAGAGCATATCGCCATCTTGCCCTCCAGTACCACCCTGACAGATGTAATAATGCAAACGTAAGTATCAGGCAAATATTGCTAAAGGCTATTTAATGATTTAGCACCAAATATCTATTCAAGCTAAGGAGTCTTTAGTGAAAGTTTTGCAAGCTGGCATTAAGACAGACCTTTTGGTTAATATTTAAAAATATTTTTTTCTTCTTTGAATTTATATTGCAAAACTATATCCATTGCAGTTAAGTTTGGCTTCTGACTTACTCTGCACTTCAGCACATCTTTTTGTCCGAGTCATTTTGTGACTGTGCTAATGAAGGTTATTGTAAATAATTGTAAATAATGATTTGTCAACCACTAAGAATGTATCACAGCTCCCATATAAACTAAGCATCAAGCGGATGACCTGGATTGATATTCTCAGCTGCTGTATTCATATTGTTAAAAAATCAATAACTGTGGAAAAGCCAGCTTGATAACAGCTTACTGCATATAGTGTTAACTGATGGCCCTGCAACAGATTGCATACGGTGCCTTAGTCTGATCATCACCTGTGAGAGGAAATTGTTTGGCGTGGTATATTAATTTTTTTTTAATCTAATATGGGGGTGATTGAAAGCAGAAGTGTGAATTTAATTTAATTTAATCTTATTTCTGAATTGCAAGATTATAAGTAAAGTATATTGAGAAGGTGTGAAGATAAAGGTCTGTTATTCAAAAACTAGTTGAATATCAAAGGTGGTGATTTGGCATAGTTAAAGTTTTGAAAATGTTTGAAAATTTGTGAAATACTTGACCCATGAGGAAATATTCATACAAACAAAACTACAAAATAAATTTCAAAATATTAGAAGTGATACTCACGACCAAGAACTGGGCTTTCAACCATTACCCAAAGCCTTGATCACTTCGACACAAGATGTTGATGTTGTTATTTAACAGGAATTGGAGAAGTGCTGCCCAATTAGTCGAATGATATATTTTAATATCATTTATTTAAATATAAGATTTATATTCATATTGTTACCACAAAATATTGTGTGTGTACTTATAATTTGAAAAGTGTTATTGAAAAGGAGAAAAGGTTTCAAATCTGGTTGACTTGGTGAAAAGCATGAGAGAGGTTTGTTGTTTAACAAATATTTAACTGGTTTAAATCTTTTTTATGTAGAATATGTTGTGTATTAAAATGAACCCCAAATGATCAATGTAATGTTTTTTCCAGGATTTTGCCAAATTTCAGTTGATTACGACTGCCTACAAACAACTTTCCCCTGGTAAGCCATTTTCATTTTAAGCCAAAATAAACAGTCCATTTAGGAACAGATAGAGTGGGTCACTTTTGAATGTAGATATCGTTGAACTGATTGAAGTTTTTTTATATTATTCAGGAGAAATTTTTGTACTTTGCTTTGTTTAAAATGATTTTTGTCTTTTTTCTTTAGATCTTGAAAGTCTGTCCGATCCTGAACAGGTAGGTTTTTTTTTCTCTACTATAGCTACTAGTTACATTTCTACAAGGCATTTTATCTTATCCACCTCCTTAAGCCTAGGTCCCAACTACGTTTTGGACGCATGGTTTTTGGGTTCCTTGCATCCGGCTAGGACGTAGCTAGATCGCAGGGAAAAAATCAAGTAAATAGTGAAAAGTTTCTACGTGCTGTTTGCGTCCTCCAAAAGTCACATGATGGACGTGCTCCTCACGGACTAACTCCCACATTTTCCCCATTTTTTTTGGCCGTAGACCACAGGTAGCAGCCCGTACATTTGGTTTGGACCTAGGCTTTACTCAAGTTTGTTACTCTCACTGGTGTTGGGAGCATTTCCACAACTTATGGTTGTTTATCTGCATTTTTATGAGGAAAATATTTATCTAACTGTTTTCATATTGTTCAAGTAGAATAGTCATAAATAAGAGTGAAATAATAAGTTTATGTCAACCCAGCTACTAGAAATAAAAATGTCCATTTCAATCCTGCATTGTGAACCAATATTTTCTCTGTGTTTCATACTCTAAATGTTGTCCATTTACTTTGCTTTTAGATTTTCTTTACTGTGTTCAAAGATGTGCTTTTATACGAAGATGATGGAGGTAGGTTTAAATTGTTATTTTGTTTTGATCTACAAAGTTTTTCTTTTGTATTTGTATCAGTGTTTAATAATAATTACATTTAAATAAATTTTCTGAATGGCATAGACTTTTATTGTGCAAATATTCATGTGTTGAATGTACTGATATGAGATGTGTTTGTTTGGTGCAAGCATTAGTTTAATACAGATCTGCAGATTTTGTTTGGCTAGTCTAGTCCCAAATATTTATCAAAAAAAAAAAAAAAACATACATACATACATACATACATACATACGAGTATGTATTCATTAACTGCATGAAAGTTTTTTTTTCCTTTTTCTAGATTACGGTCTTTATGCATTTTTCTCAAGTAGTCAAATACTAGGTGAGTAGAATGGCTATTTCTATTTGTAAGAAAGTTTTCAATAATAGGACAGCTTTGTTCTTAAGAACAGGATATTTATGTACATTGGTGTACAATGATAGGATGGCTGTGTACTTAAACGGGCATACAAAGTGGTTTTAGTTAGATATTATTCACAAAAACAGTCACATCATCAAACACTCTAAACAAACAAGATCTATTTCGAATTTAATGTCTAACACACGCCCAGTATGTAGAAATAAAAAACTAAAAATTAAATCAACATCCCGCAATTGAAACACTCCTTGCGTGTCACGTGAGCCAGACACTAGCCGAATGCGCAGGCTTACCACGTGACTGCCCTAATTTAGCAAGTCAATGTAGCGGACAATGCGAAGAAAAAACTTTAAAGCACATAAGAGGGTTAAAAAAAAAGACAAAACTTATCTGAATAAAAGTAGGATTATAATAGAGAGGGCAATGGAATGTCAACAGAGGTAAATAAGACATTAAACATTTGGAGACCTTGCACTGAGACAACATCGAATGATGCAATGGTCACACTGGTTAGGATGCCCTGATAGTATTATATAGTAGTAAAAGGTGTACACGCAGTGAATGAATTGTGCGCGCGAAACCCGTTTTCAAAGACAGCAGAGCGTAAAACTGAATGTGAAGAATGGACAAAATAAGATGTTGAAATCGCGTTTTGTTGAATAATATACACATCAAATGGTGATGATTATTTAAGTATACAATTTAAGACACCATTCTTATATCATCTCAACAACTGTGACAGCACCCTCCCTTGGTGTATGCCCCCTTAAGTGCAGGATATCTATAAAAACCCTGGAGTATTGTCAGGATTTTAAAATGGCTTTTCCAGAGTGCATTTCTTTACTTCCTCTCCCCTTTTCTCCCTGAGTACAAGTCATCTATTCAAAGAATTTTAGCAAGCCTTCGTAGAGGCTGGGCAACTTGCTCGCTTAGCACTTGATATACATTATAAATTGGGAGGGAAACGTTATTTTGTATTTGACTTCTTTCTTTATTTTTTGGTCAATTTTCTGTCTTACCAGGTGCTTCAAAGTCCTCTGCGGATGAGATGTACATAGAAGATGATGAGGATTCAGATACAGGAGAAAAAGATTTTGAAAAATTTGCAGAGATTGTAAAGGTAAGTACTGTGGATTTCATGTTGTATCAATGGCCAAAGGTGAAATTTTTTAAAACAGTTGATTAGTGTATGTTGCATGACACTTTTTCCATTTAGTTACGTATTGAGAACAGATGAGGTAATAGTTATTTTTGTTTGTTTGTTTTTAAAGAGGAGCAGCTGCAGATGTTTGAACAAGTGGTAGTGTTTTAGATTTGCTGTATCAGTAGGTTCAAAAATACAAGGATAGATATATGAAACATTTTTTAAACTGAATTGTTCTTGCCTAAGTTATGTAAGCGACAAATTACCTTATTTTTCTACAAAAATAAAAGATTGTGTTGATATTGAAAAACCATTGTGGTTAATCCATAACTTGTGCTTCTGCAAGTGCATTCTGATAACTTCAAAATTTGTGATAGGTTACAGCGTGAGTCATCAAGTTGTATGGTCAGAAGACTGGTACTTAACTGAAGTATAAACCACTTCCATGTTAAGTGATGGAATTGAGTATACATGGATAGTAGAGATTTGTTGCAGCAGAGGACAGCACTCAAGATGATGTTTTTATAGCCAATTTTAGTGTCTGTTCTTTTCCTTTCTATATCTGTGCTGTTTCTCTTTAATTTTTATGTTTTTTGGAAAAAGGTTAGATTGATGTGTCCCATTTGAGGGTTGAATGGCTGCTTAATTAGATGGAGCTATTGATACTTATGAAGTCGACTATATTTAGGAATTAGTTTGATGTCTTAGTATTTATATTACTTGGGACCTATTTTCAATGCCAAGTTTAAAAAAAAGGCAACCCTTGCTTTTACTAAGTAATGAACATGCAGGGATAATAGTTGTGAAGCGGTTATCTTCACTTATCAGTCCTTGAACACAAATATTTGTTGCAGTTTGAGAAACTCTGGATCCTTGTCTTGTTTTCATGTCTTTTCACCCCAGTAGAAAAGTTACTAGAGATGTCATTGGTGGGTTTTAGGGTGCATAAAAGCTTCAGGTTGTACATAGTTGGGAGGAAGACCCGAACTTTTTAACCCCAGATTTGCTACTGTGTGCGTTTATTCCAAATTTGGAATGTTGGGGGGGGGGGGGGGGGGGGGGGGGGTTCTGTCATCTTTACAGCCTATTGTAAGGTGTCTTTTACATTTACAGAATTGCCGTTTAAAAGGGAAACCTGTGCCTGAAGGCTTCACAGATGAGAGAATAGAGGAGTTAAGAGAGATTCTTATCAAAGAAAAAGAAGCGTACAAAAACGACGGAGCTCAGAATCCGTCTCTGACCAAAATCAAACAACCAAATCAAGTGCCTCTTGTAAAGGTGAGAAATGGTTATTATTTTGTCTGGATTTTTATAAGGGATTGGATAGGATATTGTTTTTGTGAATTTTATGTACTTATGTGCACTACTGAAGAGAGTAAATAATTGGTGCCCATAAATTGATATACTTGGGGTTATCTTTTCTTCAAAACTGATAGGCATGCTTCTTAACAGAGAGATGGTTGAGGTCTGATAGATGTTTTCAGACATCATTTTCGAAATTCTGAAGTGCTGAAATGTATTAATTGACTGAAAAACTTTTTTAGAATATTAACTGACTTATAAGATGAGTGAAATTATTATTTATTATTTTTTTTTTTGGGGGGGGGGTGACAAAATGAAAAATGCTACAATCCGTTTATTTGGTCTTCATTTTTTTTAAAAGCAAAAGCCAAAGTCGAAGAAGCAGAAAGAAAAAGAAGCTTGGAGGCGGGAGAAGGTAAGTGAAGTTAATTTAATTGATAAAAAATGTCCCATTTGTTAAGGGAGGCGGGAGTTACAGCAGATGTAATAAAAATTTTTGACGTTTTATTTCAAGTGAATTTTTTAATGTTCATTGCAGGAAATGGAAAATATCGCTTATGCGATACAAGAAAGAAATAAACAAGAGGAAGAACGTGCAGAGAAAAAGAAGATAGTAAGTACAAAAACATTGTTTTTGAAATTAGCCGATGTATGTTATGTTTGACCTTATTCAGACTTGTGGAAAAGTTACTTGTTTTTAAGGGACATTTAAAGTTGGTTCTTTTTGTTTCTTATATTAGGCAGAATTAGAAAAACAGCGCCGCCTTGAAGAAGAAAGAGCTCGCCAATTAGCAGAGGATAAAAAAAGAAGAGAGCAGTAAGTTACCAACCTCTGATTGTCAAAAAAGGGATAGATTTGTTTAGGTGCTGCATTGAGATATGGTCTTGACAGGCAATATATCTATCATATAATTCAAGTATTTTGTTTAAAAAGGGTGAAGTGTATTTAATTATCTCAATTGGTCAAATTACAGAGAAGAACGTGAACGCCAGGAGCGTGAGCGCAGAGAGCGTGAGGAGGAAGAAGTGCGTAAGAAGGCTGAAGAAGAGAAGCGTAAAAAAGAGGACAAGAAGAAAGCTGCAGAAGCAGCTAAACAGAAGGTAGGCCATTTTCATTGCAAATTACGCTGTATTGTTGTTATGTGATTACTTTCTCACCTTTTTTCAAAACTGCCTGCTTCTGAGCCCCACTAGAAATGACCTTAAACATGGCTGTAAAATTGATGAATTTAAAAAAAGGGTAAGCAAAGTCATAAAATTCATGAGTCAAAAGTAAAATTGAAATATATTTTTGTACAGCAAATAGTTGACCAAAAAGCCAAAGAGGAGGAAGAAAAAAAGAAGGCTACAGCTGCCAAGCAGAAGAACCAAGCACAGCAGCAACAGCAAGCATCCACCCAGCAGCAACTGCAGCAGCAGCAACAAAGACAGTATCAGCTGCCGCCTCGGTTTGCTCAAAAACAGCAGCAGAAGAATAAGATGCAAACAGTGCCACCTGGTGGCCAGAATTGTGGTAAGTTTAAAATTAAAGTGATGACAGAGTATTAGATTAAATTCAGTTATGCTTAATATTCTCATTGCTTCATTTGCCTAAAGAAGGGTTCAACATTATCATATATATATATATGTTTTTTTTTTTTTTTTAATGACTTAGCTGATCTTTTGACTGTTTAGTGTTAATTATTGGAATGTTTCAATTTGCAGATACAGAAAGTCAGGAAATTGGTACATGGCAAAACCCAGAGGGTGACTCTGCCAATCCTATTCTTACTTGGGGTAATCAGGCCTCTGCCAGCAGCAGTGGTAGTAGTGATATTATTGTGGATAGTCGGGACAAAGAGCAGTGGCCATCCATTGGTGACCAGTCTGAATCTGCATCTGAGGCAGGTGACGACAACGCATCTGTCCATTCGGGATCTGTGATATCTAGCTCAAGCAATCCAGGACCAGACGGGGGTCAAGGTCAAGGGTCAAGTGCCATTCAAGGTCAAAGTGCTTCCAGTGATTGGGGAGCCAACTCTTCTGACAATAAATTAGACTCAACAACATCCTGGGGAACTAGTAGTCTCTCTCCAGGAGGTGCCAACAACTCAAACTCATCATCTGTTTCGTGGGGGGAATCCATTCCCTCCCAAGCTGTGAACCAAGGACATAATATGCAAGCCAATAATAATAACCCAAACTCCCCCATTGAGTGGGGTAGTTCCCAGCAGAATTCCATGCCAGCACAAGGCACAGAGCATGGACCAACAAACCAAGGTGCTCAAAGTAGTAATGGTAGCAGAAACTCTCCTGCCACCACTGCCAACTCATGGGGAGGTATTTCTTCTTCAAGTCGTCCGTCTAGTGTCCAGAGCCTGGGGGATGTTGCAACCAACAGCAAGGCAGATATGAAACAAGGAGCTTCACAATGGGGGATGATGGTGCCACAAGAGTCCTCTGCTAGCAACAATCAAGGAGATAGTAATGGCAAGGTTGGTGAAATCAAACGGGGAAATGATATGCGAGGAACTAGTCAATGGGGAATGACAACCCAGGGCTCCTCAAGCTCCAGCTCCTCCAGCAGTGGCAGCCAGTGGGGAAACGTGTCAAAAGATGAGAAAAGTTCCATGAGAGGAGGATCAGGTTGGGGTAGTCCCAGCCCAACGCCTAGTCCAAGTACCAATACAGGAGACTGGGGCAAGTCTGCATCCAGTGTCCAGCAGCCAAACAGTTTACAGTCCATGTGGGGAGATCCCACAAACAGTGAGAGCTCTCAGTGGGGTGGGGGCAGTCACTGGGGGCCAGCTCCAGGGAGTTCCCAGAGAAGTGATAGTGGCAGCAGTGGCAATAGTTCCGGCAATCAGCGTAGTGCCAAAAGAATTGGATCATGGGGTTCAGGAGGGGGTACAGTTGGTCAGACTGGAAGCTGGACCAACAGCAATTCAAGTGGCAGGGATTGGGGAGAGTCCCAATCAGGCCAACAGTCTCAATGGGGGAACAATGGTGCCAGTCAGTGGGGCAGCAGCAGTGTAGGGCAATCACAAACAGCCGGGTCAGGATGGGGTGATGCCACCGGCACTTCCCAGCAACAGAACAATCCAGGCGAAGGATGGGGCAGTGGAACAGCCACTCAGAACAATGGGTCAGACCAGTGGGGGAGGCAGCCTACGACCAATCAGAAGGACCCTTCTCAGCTCAACCCAAACAACCCCCAGGGACAGTGGGGAAATGTTCCGTCACCCACCAACTGGGGAAGTGCATCGACACAAGACAACTCCCAGAGCCAGTGGGGTAATATGCCAGTGCAGAACAATGTAGCAACTAATCAGTGGGGTAATGGTGCCCCTCAGCATGGAAACAGTTCACAGGGGGCATCCTGGGCTGGAACTTCACCAGGACCCACCTCACCCGCAGCATGGGGTAGCGGGAGCTCGTACGCCAAAGTTCTGAGCCACAATCTTCCACAGCCCCCACCGTCTCAGCAAAAGCCTGCCAAATCAGCATTTGAGGAAGAAATAAGCCGCCAAGTTGATAGCCATGAAGGGTGGGGCATGCGTCCTGTTTCTCAAGACACTAACTGGGATGCAAAGACCTCCCCAGAACCAAAGCGTAAAGCACGTCCAGAAGATGACTCTGTGTGGCGCCAAGAAGTGAATAATGGTACAGCCATATGGGAGTCTGTGAAAAATACATCAGGGAAACCTGCCTTCGAAGAAAAGCCTGTTGTGAGAAATGATAATTCCATTACCTGGTCTGGACCTCCAGCCCAGCAGGCACCGCCTCCTCGCAATGACACCAGTTCCTGGGGTGGGGATGCAACTACAGATGGCATGTCCTGGGGAGGAGCTGGACCTGCCAAGGAGAGATCTTGGCCCAGTGGGGCAAACAATCCTCCTGCAGCTGCTAATACAGCCGCCACGCCAAGCAATTGGAACAAACCCCCACCCACCAACAATGCCAGCTGGGGTGGCCAGGAACCGCGTCCTCTGCCAACACAGTGGGCTGGGGCTACCAACAACTCTGCTCCACAAGATGGATGGGGCGGAAGTGGATCTGCACCAAGAAGTTCCCAATCTTCTGCTAGAGGATCGACCTCCTCTTCTGGATGGGGAGATGATGTGAAGCCAGCTACTGCTGGGAAGTCTACTGGTGGAACTGGATGGGGAGCACCATCCCCTCCTACCAATCGCAAGTCCACAACGGATGTGGATGATGGTACTGCTTTCTGGGGTGATCCTACTCAGCCTACACAATCAAAACCCCAGAACTGGAGTACCCCGAGTACTCCCAATACTCCAATCACTCCTTCAACTAATCCAGTGTTCCCAGGCCAGAGACCTAAATCTGGTGATATGGGGGGTGCCATGTGGGGCCAAGGAACCCCCACCCCCCAATATGCCTACCTCTGGAGGTTGGGGAGATGCTGCTAATCCAATAGCCAACAAAAGTGAGGAGGTCTCTTCCATGTGGCCTGGTCCTTCTCAGGTAGATATTGCATGAAAATTATGTTATATTTTTATGTCAGCTTATGCATTTCTAAAATATAATGGTTTACAGTTTTTTGAGGATGTCCAATGTGGTAAATTGTGCCTGATCATCCCTGTTGAATTCATTAGAGCATACTGCTTATTACAATTCCAGAGCTCCAGCAGTTGGGGTGATTCATCTGCCAGTCAGTGGCCGGTAGGTGGTGCTAAGCCAAAGACCCCGTCTACAAGTGGCTGGGAAAGTGATAGCATGCAGTGGAATGCACCAGGGCCTCGTAAGGTAGGCGATCATACTGGTTTGCAGGGTGATCAAACAAGCAGGCGTTTGCTGAATGGGTACGGTGGACCTGGAAATGACTGGAATCACCACAGGGTAAGAGAAAACATAAACTGCATGACAAGGGGTTCAACTGAATATCACTTTCCTTGGTTGTTCAAATATACTGTCTATGGCAGTTAAAAGGTAATTTTTTTAAACAGTCAAAAATCTGTACGTCATGCACTTTGTGATTCTATCAAATCTAACCAATATGAAGTAATTGCTGTGTTGTGAAGTGTACATAATGGACTTGGGTCAGAATGGATACAGAGATATTTCTAGGGAAGTACATTGAAAATTGATATTTGAATAAATAAAGTCGATATTTGTCATCAGAGTTCCACATCTGTATCCAATCTTGGCTCTTCATTAAGATGCAGGAAACAAGGTTGTTTTGAACATTCTGTTCTCTGCTTCCTAATGGTGAGAGTAAAGTATAGGTCAGAAAGGCTGAAACCACAATCAGATGCAAAGCAGCAAAGGCAAGCCACATTTTTTCTCTTGTTTCAAACCTAACCTGGTGTGGGCTTGTTACTAGAGTGGTGTGTGCAGTGCTTGTGTAGCAACTAAATCATCCCCCCCCTCCCAACTAATTTGATTGTCAGTATTAATTATGCGGGAGCCATTGCTCACTGTTATCATGATGGGATAATAAATCTCAAGTATAGACCATCCTTATTATTCAAGGTCACATCATTATATGTAATGTAGTTGGCTTTTGAAAAATGGTTTTTAAAAAATAAGTGAATAAGCCATTTTTTGGACACTCTAAGAAAGATATATCTTGTGTCCCATTGTTTAAATTTTGAATAAATATGTGCAGCTGCACTTTACATGCATTTCTTCACTTTCAGACCAGTGAATCCAGCTGGAATGATGAGAACTGGGCTGAGACTGAGGTTGGTGAGTGGGACTCTGCCCAGGAAAACTCCACCTGGAACAGTGCACAAGGATGGACTAACAGAAATGGTGCAAAGAAAATCACTGGAATGCCCTTCTACAACAAAAACTCAGCCATTGTAAGTAGCAGATTGTTCTCGATGGTAGCTGCAAAGTAGGCTTCTAGTTGGCTCTAAAAAGTATGAGGAATTGGGCATCAATGAGATAAATAATTTTCAGTTAGGATGAATCTATGTTGTAAGACTTGATTTTACATGTGGACCTTTTTTCCAGGGTGCTAAATTGAGTAGTCTTAACATGAATCCTCAACAGCCTCAGATGCGTAGCAGGCTGCTTCAACAGCTGACTGAAATGGGATTCAAGGTAACATGCTTTTCCTTTACTAAACCACAACTTTAATGATGGAAAAATGTGTTATGATATGTAACATTATGAACTGGGAAAAACAAGGTATTTTCAGCTTGGCCTTAACAATTCTAATTTGCCTTTGTGTTGTTTTTCATTACAGAAAGAAGATGCACAAAATGCTTTAATAAGCAATAACATGAATCTTGAAAGTGCCATTGGTAAGTGTAATGAACTTATCTTGTACATTAAGTTGTTATAGTGGTATCATCCTATATTGTTGTCTCATTTAGTCATTCTGTTGTTGATTTATTGCTGTTGGTTGTAAAGTTAAGGGTGTTGGTTTGTTAGACTTTGGAATCATTTCCAACTTTCTTACATATTGCCATTTCATTTTAGCTGAACTCTTTGCTGGTGCTAATATGGACAAGCGGGATGATAATGACTTGGACAGAAAGAATCGCAACATTCAACGCCAATTCTCCGCTATCCATCAGCAAGACAAAGCAGACTTTGACAACAGTGATCCGTTCTCTCAAAATACTCCAAATTTATCCAATGCTCAACAACTGCTAGGCAAGCAGGGCAGTGTCTCTTCTAGTCCCAATCCCAGTATTAATCCAGTTGCTCTACAACAAAGGCTTCTCATGCAACAACAACAACAACAACAACAACAGCAGCAGCAACAGCAGCAGAACATGCCACCATCTCAGGGTCAGGTGCTCCGCGGTCAAGTCCCTAACATGGCCGCAGCGGCAGCCTCTGCTGGCGTGTCTGCTTCTACTCAGCAACAGCTTCTCCAGCAGCAACAGATTGTGCAACAGCTGCAGATGGCAGTGCGTGCAGGCCTGATAAATCCTCAACTCCTGAACCAGCAACTCACTCCACAGATGTTGGTGCTACTTCAACAACTGCTTCAGCTTCAGACCATTCTTCAGCGGCTCGTCCAACAGCAGCAACTGCTGCAGGCCAATAAGACGGGCATGAACCCTCTTCAGCAACGCTCCCAAATGGAGCAGAATGCCGTGGTGATCCAGACCATAAAGCAGAAGATCCTGCAACAGCAGCAACAGATTGCTCAAGCTCAGCAAGCCATGGCAGCATCCTCAGCTGCCAAGGATGCTCTTTCCAGTCTCCATCCCAAGATGACTAGTCTCTCTATCAACGAAGATTCTCTTCTCCAGACGCCAGCTGGTGCTCCCCAGTCACGTCTCACTCAGTGGAAACTGCCCTCCCCAGACAAAGAAGTGAATGAGTACTTAGACAAAGCTCCAGGCTCCAAGCCCTCCAACATTCATCAATCGCATTCCACACCCAATCTGCAAGACAAGCTGGACTTCTCTTCCTCTCTCAGTGGAGACAGTATGTGGTCCACTTCAGTCTCCTCGTCCACGGCCGGCTCCTCCTGGCCTACTTCCAGTGCCATAACCTCCAGTGCCCAGCTTTTGGTCAAGGATAACAGCCCAGCCCAGTCTGACAACAAAGAATCTCAATCGTCCAATAGCAACAGTCAGTCTACCACACCAGTATTTGATATCAGTAACATGATTGAAGAGTTTGTGCCTGGTAAGAAGTGGCAAGGCACTGTCACCAAGAGCGTGGAGGAGGATCCACATATCACCCCGGGCAGCGTGGCTAGTGTTGCCAATATGTTGACCATCAAACCTGAAGTGCTGAATGCTCTGTCATCAAGTCCAACTGCCAACACTGACCAGCAGGTCTCGTCCTGGTCTGGCATGAAGGATTTTCCACGTTCAATCAGCACCATTGCTAGCAACAGTGGAGGTTCAAAATCCACCTGGAGCTCTGGCAACACTTCAACTGTTGCCTCTGGCAGCCTGACACCCACATCCATTTCTTCTGAACTGTGGGGAGTGCCAGTGCCAGGCAAAAATGCCTCCAATGCTGCAAGTCGCCCTCCACCAGGTTTGACAAATCAGAAGGCTGGAGGTGGTGGTGGTTCAACTGCTATGTGGGGCAGTGGTGGTGGAAGTAGTGGGGGTACCAATCCTGGCTTCAGTAGAGCCAACTCATGGGCTGGAGGATCTGCAGGTTCTGCATTTACTCCAGGTCAGTAATGGTAAAGCTGTTATAAAGCTGTGAGTTACTTTCACAATTTTTCAAGGGAGTGTTCAAGTGTTATTCCAAAACTATTGACTATTGCATATGTATAGTTTGACATATTTATTGCTTGATACCTTTTATAAATTCATGAAGCTTAAAATGTATGAAAAAGGTAACATTTTAATTGTCAATGTTTGATTCAGTGAGTATTTTTGTCAATTTATAACAGTTGAAAATATTACTAGCAAATTTTTCAATTTCAGTGGGTGCCTCTTGGGATCGCATGGGATCCAATGTATCTACTTGGGTTGTGCTAAGGAACCTGACTCCACAGGTAGGTTTAAGACTTGATAATTTAAATAAAAGTTCCCACAGTTTGGAGGAGCTATGTTGTATGGATACGGAAAAAAATAGTAATGTGTCTCTTGTGAAAATCTCTGTAATCTTTCGGAATTTTTGATAATGTGTTTAGATAATGTGAAAAGTAGGTGAGTGCATAAACAAAATGCGAACATAAATGATTTTTGTCTTTTAAACCATTGATGGTTCTGCCCTGAAGAAGTGTGGATAAAAAAAACAAAGTAATGTGTCTATTGTGAAAATCTTTGTAAAATATCAGACTTCAAAAAAAAAAAAAAAAAAAAAGGGATGTTTAGATAATGTGTTAAGTAGCTATAAACAAAAAAGATAAGATGGGAAGATGAATTAGTTTTGTTTTTTGAACCAGATTGATGGCTCTACCCTGAAGACATTGTGCATGCAGCATGGCCCTGTTCAGATGTTTTATCTGAGTCTCCATAATGGCACTGCTGTTGTGCGTTACCACACCAGGGAAGAGGCTATGAAAGCACAGAAATCCCTCAACCACTGCATCCTGGGCAACACCACCATCATTGCCGATTTTGCCAGCGACGCAGAGATGCAACGCTTCAAGGAGCAAAACACACAAACTTCTAATTCATGGTCACAAGGCACCTCTACTCCGACCTTCCACCGCTCTGCAAGCACCTTTGCTGGCAAGAATGATGTGAACCAGTGGAACGGCTCTAGCCTGGGTTTGCAGAGTAGCATGTGGGGAGGAAGTGGCCTCTGGGGAGGATCTTCCACTCTGGAGGAACGCCACACCCCTTTCATGCCAGACATGAACATTCTCAGTGGGGATCAGATCTAAGCTTATCTCAGAGACTGTGGTTGACTTTTTATTATTGATGAATTATTTAGACTGTGGTGGGTATCATCCAAATGATACAGGATCGATCAACGAATAGCTGAATGAAAGAACCATGCATCATCAAAAACAATATTTGTCACAGCTTTTGCCTCTCTTGGGCAGAGAAAACTATGAAGTGCTGAGAGATTTGAGGGTGGGGTCTTGCCTCACTTTGTATGCATTGACTGGCCTTTGAAAGGGCTTGATGCACTTTGCGATCTCTTGTTGCAGGGGGTTTCAGTATTGATTTAGCAGCTTTACAATTTGATATGTACGCCATGATGAGATGTTGTTATGGAGATGTTGCATTCCGAGTACAAAGAACACCAAATCATAATTATCTTGGTGCTATTAGCTTCGTTCCTAGAAGCAGGGGCACTTTTTAATCTCAAAAGAATAACAAAAAAAAAAGTAAGCAAAAAAGAAAAAAAAAATAAGAAAAATAAAAATAAAAATGACTATTTCAAAAACCAATGTCTTTCAGAAAAGGTACCTTGTGAGAAAAAAAAAATGCTTACTTTGTAACTTGTGCAATGTTACATCTCCTTTTTATTTTAGGGAGGGGGATGGACAGATATGACATTTAACCTCCAAGTGGTTTCCTCATAATGATGGAGCCAGTGATTTAACTTGCAACATATTATATTAAACGGACAAAAAAGGGAAAAAAGAAAAAAATGTAAAAAAAAAAAATAATGCTTATTAAATCATTGTAAGAGTCTTAAATCATTCTAGTGCTGGTTTTTGCAATCGTTGAATAACATTTAAAAATGGCCATTTTTTTTTTTTTTTCTTTCTTCACTTATGTGGAACTTATTTTCTGCAAGATGTGCGACTCCGTCTTTGCAGCGGGTGTCATTAAATTTTGTGTGTCTTCTGTCTTAATGTGTGATCTGCTCTTCTGAGTTGTACTCTATTATTATCATTATTATTAATATTATAGTGGAACTGGTGATAATTCAAATAAAGTGTGAGGGGACTTAGGGTCTAGTGACTCAAACCTCTACTTAGCAGAAGTATTGTTGTTATGTTTTACTATTTACAGATGTTTCTTTCAGCTAGACTTGTTAGAGGTGGCAAGCATGAGGAAGGTGGTTCTCAAAATATTGTAACAATATATATCTTATTTTAAAATGTGCCTAGTGATACTTTCACTTTAAATACAGTTCCAAATTCCAAAGGTTAGAATGATAGTTAAATTGATATTTGCATTTATATGTTGTAGATTTGTCAGAAAATGCATGCAGTTCTTCTGTATATCTCTATTCATAAGATTTTAAAACCAAATTGTCAGGTCCCAAGTTGTGGGCCTATCGAAAGTGCTCTTCAAAAAGTTGTAAATGCACAATAGTCTGGCATGATAATATACCAGAAAAGAGGCCAATAGTTATGTATTTGACAAATGATACTTTTATGTGCAGTGGTGATATAAAGTAATAAAGCAACACATAAACAAAAAATCGACTTCTCATTTCTCTCCTAAAAGGCAAAGCTACAGAGGAGACGCCCAACAAACAATAATATCAAGTTGTTTTAATTTGAAGTGCAGAGAAGGTAGGGTTATATAATTTTGTTAGAAAGTAATAAACGTATTTATATATAAGGAAATAATGATAAATTAAATCCACACACATGCTTACACTATTTACAATAAAAGATTTCATGAAACTTGACAGCCGATGATGCTGGACCACGTGCACTGCCTTTGTAAAAATGGGGGCGTCTCGATAGTCCGAAGGTTCATTGGTCCGAAAAGTGGTAACATTTTCATCGATTTTCTAATCAAGGGTTCATTGGTCCGAAGGTTCTATAGTGAAGTTTCGGACCAATGAACCTTCGGACTATTGAACCTTCGGACTATCGCTACGGCCCCTGCAGGGTGACGCTCGCCCAAAGAAGATAGTAAAAATTAGAAATGTACTTTTTAATCTCTTGGTAACCGTAACATGTTGCAAATTTCATTCCCAATCACGAAAAAGTCTTATGACAAGTGATCACTTAAAAGAGAAGTAAAGAAAAAAGATTTAGTGGTAAACAAAATTCCAATAAGTGAGAGCACAAAAACGGTAATTGGGGCGAAAACCATATTTACTGTAATTAGTATCGCATTTTAACTTAGTGCGTTTATTTTTACGAATAATAATTCATAAAAAGATACGTAAGCTAGTGCGTTTTCGTGATAGCCACCTCTACGACTGGTGGTGGTGGTGTGTGTGTGTGTGGGGGGGGGGGGNNGGGGGGGGGGGGAGCTTTCTGTCATTCCAAACATACAATAAAAGCGCGTTGGGGCTGTTGTGGCAAAAAAATATCTTCTTTTCTTCAAAATTCAATAACTTTTCCTCAATGATTTTGTGTTAAATTGATTTTTTATCATCACAACTTACGTTTAAGATAACGAAAATGTTGAAACGAAGCCACAAAGATGTAGAAAGATTAGAAGAAATAAACTCGTCTGAAGAAAACCCATCCAGTAAGACCGTGCCACCGGAAGTAATGCAGGTACTAAAGATGAGCTTTGCATTTAGATCCAATGCATTTCTTAAACTAAGTGACAACCGGGATCAAATCATTTTGCTTGTTATCTTCATCTAAGAGATTTATAATTTCCAAATAAAACCGCAACTCCTTCGAAGTATAATTATTCATTCTTGGAATTAGTTGCACCCAATACAAGAGGAGCCATCAGGACTCAAACGTGTGGTATAATATTCAGATGGCTTATGTATTATTTGGAATTGCTTAATTTGATTTTCAGCCCCTAAACATTGCCACACAGTAAGTTTAGGAGCCGGGCATGAACACAGAGTTTTGCCATTTTTGGTTCTTAATAATGTTTAAAGATTGTACTGTACATGAATGTAGATTAGGGAAAATGAAGGCAGTTTCGANGTGGGGGGGGGGGGGAGCTTTCTGTCATTCCAAACATACAATAAAAGCGCGTTGGGGCTGTTGTGGCAAAAAAATATCTTCTTTTCTTCAAAATTCAATAACTTTTCCTCAATGATTTTGTGTTAAATTGATTTTTTATCATCACAACTTACGTTTAAGATAACGAAAATGTTGAAACGAAGCCACAAAGATGTAGAAAGATTAGAAGAAATAAACTCGTCTGAAGAAAACCCATCCAGTAAGACCGTGCCACCGGAAGTAATGCAGGTACTAAAGATGAGCTTTGCATTTAGATCCAATGCACTTCTTAAACTAAGTGACAACCGGGATCAAATCATTTTGCTTGTTATCTTCATCTAAGAGATTTATAATTTCCAAATAAAACCGCAACTCCTTCGAAGTATAATTATTCATTCTTGGAATTAGTTGCACCCAATACAAGAGGAGCCATCAGGACTCAAACGTGTGGTATAATATTCAGATGGCTTATGTATTATTTGGAATTGCTTAATTTGATTTTCAGCCCCTAAACATTGCCACACAGTAAGTTTAGGAGCCGGGCATGAACACAGAGTTTTGCCATTTTTGGTTCTTAATAATGTTTAAAAACATTATTAAGAACCAAAAATGGCAAAAGATTGTACTGTACATGAATGTAGATTAGCCTTAGGGAAAATGAAGGCAGTTTCGAGGTAAACGTGCAATGTGAGAAATACAGATTGATACAGTGAACATGAGTCTATTAGAAATTGCCCCCCTACTGACTGAACGGAACAATGAGCCAGCCATGATGGGTGGTCTGCGTTTTCTGGGTGCTTTTCTAATTATTGTTTTGTTCACAATTTTTCAAATGGGAAGACGTAGTATTGCAGTGCATGTATACCTTTAGTCAAGTCATCTATTTTTTATCATTGTTCCTCTAGGTGTTTTCACGTGGTACTAATTGACTCACTCTTCATTCTTAAATATTTTAGTTTTCATTTTTCAGAGATTGTCCTTTACAAAATGGCAGGAGTACATGTAACTATGCAGATCAGTGTTGAAGCCCAAACTTCATTTCTTCAAAATGCTTTTAGACTGAGATCTGACCAGTGCTATTGTGACATAGAAATTCACATAGGAAACACATCCTGTAGCGCCCATAAACTCATCCTTGTCTCTTACTCCAAATACTTTGCTGATTATTTCCGTCTTTCAAAATCTAACCAGTCACACATTGTGCTTTCTGATATAAATTGGGAGATGTTCAGCTATATCCTAGACTATATGTATGGCCAGAAAGTTAAGATACCAGTCCCTTGCTGGGATGAATTTCTAAAGACTGCTAAAAAGTTGGAGATTCAGGATTTGCTTGACAAGTGGGATGCAGGCCAAAAGAAAGGCTTGAAAACTAGAGGAGGACTTGATATTAAGTCTATGACTTCAGCAGTTTCCACATCCAGCTTTGATGTTGAAAATGAGTGTAATGCATTGGATGATGGTGATGAGGCTGACTATACAAACGGAATGTCAGCTTGTGTTATAAATACAGAACAGGTGAATAATGTGAATAATGCCTTGGGTGTTGAGGAGTCCCTTAAATCTAGTTCTGAACATTTGGCAGGCAAGAAATTGGAACAATTTACAACTGCCGAGAAGTGGAAACCTTTAGAAGATCTGAGTAGTCTTGATAAGACCTGTAGTTTATCCAAGTTAAGTTTACCAGGCCTCAGTGGTGGAAGTGAATATAGGGGCAAATATACCTGTGTTGCATGCAAGTCTATTTTTCCAAGCATAAAAGAAAAAAGTCTACATTACTTGACCAGAAGCTGTTCTGGTGGTCTGCTGAAGGTTGCACGGCAGAGGTTTTCTAGGAGTTTTAGAAAAGAAAGCAGAAGAAAAATTCCTGTTAAAACAAGTATTCCAAACCATGTGTGTTACACTTGCTTTAAAGGATTCATATCCAAGTCTGCACTTTTGAGACATTTTCAGTTAAACCACAAGAAGAAAAGTTTATGGAAATTTCCATCCAGTCAAGTTAGGGATAGCAAAAATACTGCAGCTGCTACAAAGTCTCCTAATAGTGTCCCATTTCCATTAAAAATACCTGGTGGTAAAGGAAGAAGCAGTGAATCTAAACTGAAAGAAATAAAAAGAGATCTGAATCGATGTGAACAGTGTGGTAACGTGTTTGCGAAGGAAAAGGCTCTGGTGATGCATCGGGCTAAGACACATGGCTTGGGTGTGTTTTTGCAGGCTGTTCACTGTCCTAACTGTCCTCAGGAGTTCAATGTAAAAGAATTCTACAGAGGGCACCGGCTTAGAAAACATAAGAAACATGTTCAAGTCTGCTCAGAAGAGGGGTGTGATTTTACATGCACTACTATTCGAGACATCACCAATCATTTGAAGGAAGAACACAACACTGATCCTCCACACAAGTGCCCCCTCTGTAACTATGTTACTCCCTTAAAAGGCTATTTAAAACGACACATCGATAGGCATTTTCTTCGTGGCAAGTTATACATTTGTGAGCTGTGTCCGAAGGTGTATATGACGGAGAAAGCACTATTGCAGCATAAGTACACTCAGCATGGTTTGGTTGATGCAGAGAAAGCTGTACGGTGCACTTATCCAGATTGTTCATTCTTGACATATAGCTTGCTTACTATGGAAGATCATTGCAGAGCAAAGCACACTGAGGAGAAGAATTTCCCATGCCCCCAATGCAATCGAAAGTTCTCAACAAAAGGGTAAATAAGCATGATAATGTAACATGTTACTTGTATCATGTAATGAAAGGTGATATTCCTCTAGACACAGCAAATGACCATGTCTAAACTGAAATAAGAACTTTATTGATTATATAATTACTGTACGTACCATCAAAATCAAATCAGTTTCAAGTTTCCTCATATCTGGCCTGCATGTACCCTGAAAATTTTTATCAAAATCTTTCTATAATGTTTTAGATAATAATGCTCAAAGCCAAACAGACAGTCAATGGAAGCAATAACAAGATCTTTGGCAGTTGGTTCCACATTATGTATATAGAAATGCTGTTATCAGTTATTTTTTACTTGAGTCAACTTTATACAATTTTAATCAGTATTACTTTGCATGTTTCACCTTTTATTTTAGTTCTCTAAAGTCCCATAGATTGTCTCGCCATGAGCTGCGCTATACATGCAGTTGTCCAAATTGTGGTAAAATGATGGTTGACAAGGCATCTTTGAAGATGCATCAGTTGCGGTGCATCGGAGCTCGAAAAACCTTCTTATGTTCTCAATGTGACCACTCCACATACGTCAAGGATAGACTTGAAGGTTTGTATTGTAATCAAGTAATCTTTTTCACCTTAAAAAGTTAGCATTGTTTATTGGGTATGTAAAACCTACCAATAATTTATATTACTTACATTCATAATGGTGTTTAATTTTCAATTATGTGTCTGTATATATAGCCATCACCTGTGTCTGTTGTCACCATTGTCGCCATGCACTTTCAGTGTTATATTGGCATATTTTATCCACTGTTGTACAAATAAAGTGAAAATCATTTTACTTTCAACCTTGAACCGCACTTTTTCAAGGTTTAAGTCCCAAGCAATTTTCAAGCTCTTAAATTTACCATTAAACTTGGATGGGAAGTCTTTTATTCACAGTCTTACTGCAACTTAAGATTTGACAAATTTGCTTTTCCTCACGATTTTGTTATAAATTGTAATTTTCTACAAAATAATTTGTAGAGCTTGTCAAGCACATCACTGGAGGTGGTGTCCCTTTTTTTTCCATACAGATGCGCATACTCTAGTGGTACAATATCGAGAGGCAGTATTGCCTCTCTGATCCTGTAGTGAAAAATTGGTGGTGATTATGCTGTTAAGCATTATGTAATATTGCATCGAAAATGATTTTAAAAACTTTTTTGTGTACTGCCACTACAAATGTTCTAAAAGGAAAACTATTACTTATTATTATGTAACTTACAAGAATCATTGACTTATAGCTCAAATTGGCAAACCAGCTTGATTGGATTATTTTTCATTCTTGATGTCTGTACATTTCACAGCTGTGCTGCCTTGTTTACTAGGGCTTTTTTGTTTAAAATGAATTTGCTTAAAGTGAAAAAGATGGAAAACATTTGACCTAGACTTACATTAGATTTACATTTGGCTAAAAAAGAAATAAAAAAAAAATACATAAGTGATGCATACTTTTTCTTCCCAGCTCACCAGTTTAAGCAACATGGTATACTCCCAAGCAAAGGCAAGATTTACAGTTGTGAACTGTGTGACTACACTTGTACAATGAAATGTAGATTAAGTAGCCATATGCAGAAACATACAGGTAACCATTGTTATTTAAATGCTGCATTTTCTTGCATGTTTTGATAACACCACTTAATGTAGTTTGAAAAAAATCTGAATGATTTCCCCTTAAAATGTTGCTTACATTCTTGTTACGTGTATGTGTCCTTACAGGTAGTATGTTATTATATACTTGCCCCCAAAAGGAACCGATGTTTTTGACCACAGTGCTTCAAAATGCCCAAAAATGCACCTTTTAGTCTGGTCACTGTATTCAATGACATAATGCTATCTTAGTCCTTCAGTAGAATACAAAAATAACAAGTCCCAATTTATATGTACTTAAAATTATGTATATGGTCTGCTATAGTGTTGTTGGTCTTAAAGGAAACTGAAACTTCAAAATACAAAGTGTCTTTTTATAAAAAGCATCATGGGCCAAACTAAGAATTTGTATATATTCCTGGTTTGGAGTGGCAGACCATGCAGTTTGTTTTAAACTAGTATGATGTGATTTCCATAGGCATACAAGTTAATGGAGCATCTGTAAAAGAGTTTTAATAATCCAATTCATAAGTTCCCAATGGATGAATGATTTTAGCTCTGGCAGAGTCTGAAAGTTGGTAACAAATTGACCCTGTGTTCCTTTTGTTATATGCTGCAGATTTTCATACACTGGAAATTTGCTTGTTCATGGAAAGGGTCCATTATCCCTCTCATCAGAATACTTTATATACATTACTGGCCCCCAGGAAAGTGTAATAGAAAAGGGGATGGGGTTAACATGTTTGCAGATGCTTTGTTTATAAGTAATGCTTAATATTTTAAACTCTCTGTAGGAGAAAGGCCAGAAGTATGCGACATTTGTGGTAAAAAGTTTCCCTTAGGCAGCCTGAAGACTCACATGAAGGTTCATAAAACCACATATGATTTTCAGTGCATGTACTGTGATTACAAAACACGGGTAGGTTTTATTAATATCTTTTTTATGTGCCAATATTTATTTATGATTATTGTAACAAATTTATGTAAAAAACAGTGGGCATTTCAAGCATACTGCAGTTGAGCAATCTTAAACAAAATGAATTTTGTCCCTGCTTGCAGTTCAAAACAACAGGATAATTGCACTTTTATTTTTCTTTAAAAAAGTGTACTCTGGCATTGTATGTCAATATGCTTCAGTGCATTCAAGCGAAATACAAGTGCAATTATCCTATTGTTTGTTGCCAAGATGTTGATATCATAAAAACAGACATTATTTTTTTTCTCTTTTCAAGTGGGAGTATCATTTCAAAACACACATCCGCCTAAAGCATACAGAAGGTGAGAAGAGGCCTTACAAGTGCAGCTATTGTGACCACAGAACTAACTTCAAGGGGAATTGTGTGAAACACATCAAAAATGTCCACCCTGGTAAAGAACCTGCAGTAATTCACCTTAGTGACAATGCTTTGTGATTTTTTTTACAGAACTGAATCAAAATTGATGGTTTGTGGGATGGGACTGCCTAATCACCTCTATACTCTGGATCTTTTCAGGGTTACGATTAACCCCAGTCCCCTGACCGCTGACAAGCCCTCTAACTGCCTTATTGGTATATTTACCTTTTTTGTTTTTCTGTGGTACATGTATTAAGTAATGGTAAAAAGGATGGAAATATGGCCTTGAAATTAATTTAGTATTACAGATGTTTTGATTCATTGACTTGGTCACATATATAATGCTGTAGTACTACTTAAAAGTTGTCTGACAATAGCATTATTAATTTTTTACACACATATTATTTTAGTTATCACATGTAGAGAAATAAACTCAATAAATTTGTGGTGAAATATTGGTCATTCGGCTGCAAGATTTCCACTGATTCTCCACATACAGGTGTGCCTAACATTTTTATTAAAATATGAAGTGAAAAGCGAGTGGAACAATTGTTTGTCCAAGTGGAACATTACTTACATCGGTCTGGCAGCTTTAAAAACTGAAAAAAAAATTAGATTTATCTGTTCTGACACAAAAAAATAGAAAAACGTACGTGGACTAAATTTTAAACCTTCGTTACTGTCGCTCATAGCAACATCTCACATTCTCCTTGTTTGTTTTTGCTAAAGTAAATATTTGCAACTTGTCAAGAAGTGACCATGATGTCTCAGAATATTTTTTTAATGTTTAAAGCAATAAATAACTTGAGCAAGCTACTCCTTTTGCGGTGTCGCCCGACATAAAAATTTGGGGGAAAAACTTCGTGCTGTCTTTTATCGCAGGCCATTTTTATTTGTTTGATGATTTTGTGATATTTTAGACATTATTAATAAAACATCTTAAATTCAGTTATATCCATGATCAGCAAGACGATATCCTAACAGAGAACAGTGAAATGTTTTACACGAAACGAGGCAAAACTACATTCTCTGAGAAAATAACTTGTAAAACTCTCGTTACCAGGCATTGTGAAAAATATACTTGAACTTGAGGACAAAATGTATCAGTACAAGAAACCATGGACAAAATTATGTCCCAGAAGAAACACAAATATGTCATACCCCTGTAGCGCAGTCTAATTTTTGTTAGCATTAGAAACGTGCAAATATTATACAAAAGTTACTTTTTAAACTGTCGTAACTAGAACCTTTGTTACTGAAAGCGAAAACTATGCATATTTGTAAGGCATGAATCGGAAAACGTTTCCATGATTACACGTTGTTGAGGAAATGCAGTCAGCCTACAAATTCAATCATAGCACAGAATCTGCACTTTTGAGAATTAAAAATGATTTGTTAAGTGGTGTTGACAAACATTCTGCTATGTTATTGGTACTGTTAGATTTGTCTGCTGCGTTTAACACAGTAGACCATAATATTTTATTGACATTTCTAGAGCAGAGTGTAGGGGTTAGAGATAAGGACTTAGATCTTTTACGATCCTATCTTGTTGGGAGAATGCATCAAGTTAATATAAATGGTGTGCTTTCTGAACTCTCACAGCTTTTATTTGGTGTTCCTCAGGGGAGCGTTCTTGGCCTGCTAAAGTTTTGTGTTTACACGTTACCCCTTGGAGCAATTCTGCGTTATCATTAGATAGGTTACAACTTTTATGCCGATGATACCCAGTTGTACACATCTTGTAACATCCATGATCCAGCATTGTCTGTGAACACCATTGTTGATTGCATATCAGACCTCAGAGGTTGGCTCATTTCAAACAAATTGAAGATAAATGATGGAAAAACAGAATTTTTAGTCATTACTCAACCCTACAACAAGGGCCTTGCTCATAACTTGCAACTTAAAATTGGAGCTAGTATGGCACTATCCTCCCCCATGTAAAAAATTTAGGAGTATATTTTGATTCTTCACTTTCAATGGACAAACAGATCTCTAACATCACAAGGTCTTAATTGTTTATTCAACATTCGGAATATTGGCACCATAAGGAAATATCCGAATCAATCATCTGCTGCTACTGTTATACACTCATTGGTAACTTCCAGGTTGGACTATTGCAATTCTGTATTATATGGATGTCCAGATGATAAGATCAAAAGATTACAACGCATCCAGAATATCTCAGCACGGCTTTTAATGCTACAGCCTAGGGATTGCCATATCACTCCAATTAGCAGCTGCACTGGTTACCAGTTAGGGCCAGAATTTTATTTAAGGTTTTAGTTTTTATACATGCTGCTTTTTATAACCTACATGTAGCTCCACCATATATTACTGATCTAGTAAAACATTATAGCCCTCAAAGATCCCTGAGGTCTGGTGACAAACTTTTACTGAAAGTTCCCAAATCAAAGTTATAATCATATGGTGACATCATTTTGTGTAGCTGCACCAGTAGAGTGGAATAAGTTGCCAATTTTTATGAATAGAATCACAAGAATCTTTTAAAAAGGAATTGAAAACTCACAATTTTAAGACATTTTATTCATGAATTTTTAATTTTACATTAAGAAACCTTGGATTTTTTACTTTTATTACTGTTTATTACAATTTAGTCTAGTTCTGATTTATATATTATATATCTTAACTATTTTTATTTATAAACTTCTTTGTATTTTATGTTGTACAGTCTATTGAACATTTTATGGATTTTAGACTCGAAATAAATATATTATATTATTATTATTATTACACAAAAAGCTAAATTTAACACTTTCTCAGCCTCCTTCTGCTAACTGTCTTGCACCAAGTACTTGAACAAAATGAAACATTTTTTTACATTTTTCTAGGGAACATGTTACCTAGCCATGACACAAAGCCCCTTGAGTTAGGCCCCCCTACAGTTTAAATATTTATAAAAATATACTCACGTCATGTCTATAATTTACCATGACTGAACCACTACAAAGTAAACGCGATATAAAAATTAAAATTCATTAAGTTACCGTACCAGGGGCGGATCCAGGGTCATTTGAAGTGGGGGGGGGGGGGGGTCCGTAACGACAGGCATCAGATGCGAAGCCGACTATCGCCCCCTTGGTGTTGGGTTCGTGGCCTGCTCAAGAGCCCCGAATTTTTTTTTCTTTTTTGAGAGCAAACCGTGGTAAGGTTTAGAACTATGATTAAGCTAGTAAAAATGCTAATTTCAAGAGAGGAATCTTGGTGAGATATATTTTTCAGAAACTGAAGGGGGGGGGGAGGTAATTGATTTCTTATCACCACATATTGACGTAAATATAGAAAAGTGTACACGGCAAGCCATAAAGACGGCTTACATTTACTCTTCCATGGATTTACAATCAATATTCTTGCCTGGAAAATCATATACGAATTTAGAACCAATGTATTTCTTCAACTAAATGGCTAACAGATCAAACCATTTTGCTGTTGTCTTAATGGGGTCCGCCATATAGATAAACGTCCCAATAAAATATTCGCCCCGATAGATACGTCTCTATACATACACGTCTCAATAGATTTACGTCTCGTTAAATTTACGTTCCGATAGATCCACCAACAGATTCCTATAAACCCACGTATCTTTAGATCCAGGTACCGCTAGATCCATCTATCTGACATCGTAATCGGCTAAAAGGCCCATATCAACTTGCGTTGTGAACTTTAGAACACATTTTTATGTTCTTTTTTGTTTTGATTTGTTTAGAACACATTTACATGTAAATTCAGAACACTTTTTACGTGTTCGAATGTTGCATTTTGAGAACGCTTTAAACAGTGTTCTGACGCTAGAACAGTAATTAAGCGTTGTGAAATATAGAACACACTTTTGTTCTTTTTATGTTCTTTCACTGAGTATTGTGTGAAAACGATCTAGTAGAATAATATATTGCTGACTGCGTACTGCCGTTTTAAAGAAGTGCATTTTATGTACTGAGAAGTATACCAACTATTTCGAGCAATAGTGTACCTGTAATGGATCTATCGGTATTTGGATCTAAAAATACGTGGATCTATAGGTATGCGGATTTAAAGGACGTGGGTTTATGAGGACGTCATATCTATAGGAACGCAAATATATAGGACAGCAGAAAAAAATCGGATCTATCGGTATTTAAATCTAAAAAGACGTTTTTTCCGTTTTTCCTTTATGTATCTATCGGTAACGGGAGTATAGGGACGTGTAATATTTTGGGACTAAATTTTATCCGTACGTACCCGTCTTAATTACATGTAGTGTATAAATTCGAAATAAAACCTTAGAGACTCCTTCGAATAATTATTCATTCTTGGAATTAGTTACACCCAATTCAAGAGGAGCCGACGAGCCGATATGTACATGTACTCTTGAGTGAGTGTGTGAAATGATTTATTCTAAGGTGATTTATGTATCATTTAGAATTGCTTATTTGTTTACTGCGCCTACCAAGGTCAGGGGTGACATGTACTTGTGACTGATATGGAATATAAAGTTAAAGTTCCTGGTGATTTTAAGTTTTACCTGAATTAAGACGTACGAAAAGTCACAAGTTTTTCTAATGTTGTACAGACGGGGTCATACACCGAAGGTTCAATAGTCCGAAGATACCCACACGTCTTATTATGACTAAACATTTTGAATCATTTCATGAAAACAAAAGGCTGTTCTTGTTATAACGACACCACGTTTGCCCCTTTTTAAGACGCCATTTTAAAAGCTGAGCCAAAATACTGCCTAACTCAAATTCCCCCTGACAGACATACATTGTACATGTACGTACTGGGTGAGTGTAAGACCGCATTCACAACGAGTTGAACCATGGCTCTACAAATCCACGAACTAAATATGGCAGACGTACATGAAAGAAAAACCACCTAATCTTTTAGTAGTCTCTCTGCCTCTCACACGCCTCCCCACACGTCGTCCCCGGTGGGGGTACAGTCATTAAATCTCATTTCCATTCGCCATGTGGAAGCTACCTGAAAAATATTAAGTGCGCATGCTCATCAATTAAACTCGAGGTGAAGAAAACATGGCGGCTGGAGGCGATTGAAGGACAAAAGCCCTTCTGCTCTATTATCTTTCAAAACAGAGACGAAAAAGGAATGAATTTGCCCGTAGAGCAGCAATGAATCAGCTATCTACGGAGATAATGTTACCAGAGATATTCACGAAGATACCCAGCCCCGCAGGCGTGTGAGAGGCATAGAGACTATTAAAAGATTAGGCGCTTTTCTTTCATGTATGTCCGCCATATTTAGTTCGTGGATTTGCAGAGCCATGGCTCAACTCGTTGTGAATGCGGTCTAAGGCATTTGCGGCACAATATATAAGTATAGAAACTAGCACTAGTGGGCTTGATTTGGTCTTAAAGTGCAATTTAAGAACACAAATAGTCTTACATGATCTTAAAACATGAGAAAGACCATTTCTAGTCTGACAGCCAATTAAGTTGCCTCCCCTTACACATTCTCCTATTGTGAGGGGAGGTATCCCCCATTGTGAGGGGAGGAAACTGCTTGACCACTTAAGTAGATGTTAGATCAATTTTGATCTTAAAAGCAGATTCAGTCCATTTTAAGACTACTGCTATAATGTTTAAGATCGTGTAAGATCACTTGTGAACTTAAATTGCACTTTAAGACCAAATCTAGCCCACTAGTGTAGGCATGAACATGCAGTTTAAAATTTGGTTATACAATATTTTAAAGAGAGAAATATAAATGTGAAACTGGAAAAAAGAAGTGAAGGAAGTGTGGTTTACAAACACAATATGGGAAATAAAATCATACAATGTATTTTGTAAAGTGTGTGCAGTAGAATTTGCTCTCGAAACATTGACTTAATGGGAACAGCCATGACCGGAGGTCTACGTTTTCTGAGTGATTTTTTACTTAAGTATAATAATATAATAATTATTGTTTTGTTTATAATTTTTCAAACATGCATACAGTATTGAAGAACATGTATATATACCTTTATTTAAGTCATCTTTTATTTGGTCAGAGTCAATTTTAGAGACTTCACTGAGTTCACTGAGTACTGATTGACTCACTCTTCATTCTTAACTATTTTAGTTTCCTTTTTTCAGATTTTTGCCTTTACACAATGGCTGAAGTATCTATCCAGATTAGTGTTGAAGCCCAAACTTCATTTCTTCAAAATGCTTTTAGACTGAGATCTGACCAGTGCTATTGTGACATAGAAATTCACATAGGAAACACATCCTGTAGCGCCCATAAACTCATCCTTGTCTCTTACTCCAAATACTTTGCTGATTATTTCCGTCTTTTAAATTCTAACCAGTCGCACATTATGCTTCCTGATATGAATTGGGAGATGTTCAGCTATATCCTAGACTATATGTATGGCCAGGAAATCAAGATACCAGTCCCTTGCTGGGATGAATTTCTAAAGGCTGCTAAAAAATTGGAGATTCCGGATTTGCTTGACAAGTGGGATACAGGCCAAAGACGAGGCTTGAAAACTGAAGGTGTACTTGATATTACATGCAAGTCCATGACCTCAGCAGTTTCTACACCCAGCTTTGATATTAAAGATGAGTGTAATACATTGGATGATGGTGATGAGGATGACTGTACAAATGAAATGTCAGCTTGTGCTACTAGAACAGAACAGGGAGATGTGTATAATGTCTTGGGTGTTGAGGAGTCCCTTAAATCTAGTTCTGGATCCTTGGTAGGCATGAAAATAGATATTACAGAGCAATTTACAACTGAAGAGAAGTGGAAACCTTTAGAAGATTTGAATATTCTTGATAAGACCTGCAGTTTATCCAAGTTCAGTTTACCAGGCCTCAGTGGTGGAAGTGAATACAGGGGCAAATATACCTGTGTTACATGCAAATCTATTTTTCCCAATATAACAGAAAAAAGTTTACACTACTTGGCCAGAAGCTGCTCTGGTGGTCTGCTAAAAGTTGCACGACAGAGGTTTTGTAGGAATTTTAAAAAAGAAAGCAGAAGAAAAATTCCTGTTAAAACAAATATTCCAAGCCATGTGTGTTACACTTGCTTTAAAGGATTCATATCCAAGTCTGCACTTTTGAGACATTTTCAGTTAAACCACAAGAAGAAAAGTTTATGGAAATTTCCATCTAGTCAAGTAAGGGATAGGAAAAACACTGCAGCTGCTACAAAGTCTAAAAATATCCCATTTCCATTAAAAATACCTAGTGGCGAAGGAAGAGGCAGTGAATTTACACTGGATGAAATAACAAGAGGTTTGAATCGATGTGAACAGTGTGGTAATGTGTTTGCAAACGAAAAGGCTCTGGTGATGCATCGGGTTAAGACACACGGCTTGGGTGTGTTTCTGCAGGCTTTTCACTGTCCTAACTGCCCTCAGGAGTTCAATGTCAAAGAATTCTACAGATGGCACCATATTAGAAAACATAAGAAATATATTCAAGTCTGCTCAGAAGAGGAATGTGATTTTACATGCACTACTATTCAAGATATCACCAATCATTTGAAGAAAGAACACAACACTGATCCTCCTCACAAGTGCCCCTTCTGTAACTATGTTACTCCCTTAAAAGGTTATTTAAAACGGCACATCGATAGGCATTTTCTTCGTGGCAAGTTATACATTTGTGAGCTGTGTTCGAAGGTGTATATGAATGAGAAAAGGCTATTGCAGCATAAGTACTCCCACCATGGTTTGGTTGATGCAGATAAAGTTGTACGATGTACTTATCAAGATTGTTCATTCCTGACATATAGTTCAGTTACTATGGAGAATCATTGCAGAGCTAAGCACACCGAAGAGAAGAATTTCCCATGCCCCCAGTGCAATAAAAGGCTCTCAACCAAAAGGTAAATAAGCTTGATAATATACACTTTGTATCAAGAAATGAAAGGTGATATTTCTCTAGATGAAGGCAGAAGTAATATCCTGCAGTGAACATTATGATGTGGAAAATGACCTTTCAAATTTGACCGTCCATGTCTTCATTGAAATAAGACCTTGAAACACACAGAAAATGCAGACATCTGCCAAAACGGGGGCGTCTCGATAGTCCGAAGGTTCATTGGTCCGAAGGTTCATTGGTCTGAAAAGTGGTAACATTTTCATCGATTTTTAAATCAGGTTCATTGGTCCGAAGGTTCTATAGTGAATATTCGGATCAATGAACCTTCGGACTATTGAACCTTCGGACTATTGCTACGGCCCCGCCAAGACAGCTCAATTTCAATATCTTTAATTATTAATCTATTACTTAATGGATCACTGCTTCATTTTTAATTTATTGATTAATTACCACCAAAACCAATTATTAGTTAGCCCATTTCTGACCTATCCAGAAAATTTCATTGGAATCGGTCCATAAGTTTTTAGATAATGTTGCTAACAGCCAAACAGACAATGGAACCAAAATTTATCTCGTTGGCAGAGGTAATAATCACAACACTTTGATAAAAGTGAGTTGGGTCCACACAGAAATGCAGTTATCAATTATTTTCATACTTAAGTCCACTTTATACAATTTTAAACAGTATTACTAACATATACATGCTTTGCCTTTTATTTTAGATCATTACATGCCCATATATTGTCTCGACATGAATTGCGCTATACATGCAATTGTCCAAACTGTGGCAAAATGTTGATTGACAAGGCGGCTTTGAAGCTTCATCAGTTGCGGTGCACCAGAGCTCCAAAGACCTTTTTATGTACTCAGTGTGACCACTCTTCATATGCCAAAGGGGAACTTGAAGGTTTATATTGTAACCAAATGATTTTTCTCATGTTAAGAGTTTGCATTGATTATTTTTATGTAAAATCTATAAGAAATGATTATTACTTTGGCATAGGCACCATTGGTTACGAGGATAGATCCAATTCCAAGAGGACTCACTGAATGTAATCAGTTTAACAGATTAACAGGCCTCCTGAGATAATGGTGAGAAGGCTTGTCTTTCACTTAAGCTGATTGCGCTTAGCAAAGAGTCCCCGCAGAGTTGTTTTGATCTGCATAGACCAGTGGTGTCTATGGGAATGGGTCTTGTATTCAAAACCCTGCTTAATTCTTAATTACTGTTTTCTTTCCTACATTCTTGTTCAGAGAAGAATTTCAGATTACATTCAGTGTTAAGACTGACAAAAAAGATAAATAAATGAAGTCTGATTTCAGCCTTTTTTCCCCAGCTCACCAGTTTAAGAAACATGGTATACTCCCAAGCAAAGGCAAGATTTATAGTTGTGAACTTTGTGACTACACATGTACAATGAAATGTACCTTAAGTCGCCATATGCGGATACACACAGGTAACCATTGTCACTTAAGTGCAGCATTTTACACACACACACACACACACACACACACACACACACGCCACTTCTACTAGTTTCTTACATGATTGAAAAAAATCAGCATGCCAAGGGAAAAACTAAATTAATAACTTGATAGAATTGACCCTATGTTCCTGTTGTTATATACTGCAGATTTTCATACAATTTGCTTGTTCATGGAAAGTGTCCATATCCCAGAATACCCATCATGTGAATACTGTTCATACATTACTGGCTCCCACAAAAATGTTACAGTAAAGGGGGTGGAGTTAACATGTCTGTAGTTGTTTTATTCATAAGTAATGTCTATTCTTTTTAAATGTCTGTAGGAGAAAGGCCAGAAGTTTGCGACATTTGCGGTAAAAAATTTCCCATAGGCAGCCTAAGGGCTCACATGAAGGTTCACAATACTACTTATGACTTTCAATGCATGTACTGTGATTACAAAACTCAGGTAGGTTTTATAAATATCTTTCTTTTATTTATGTGCCAGTTTATATATGTTTATTGTAATGAACTTATAGGATTTAAAATAAGCACTTCTAGCATGCTTTAGTTGAGCTACCTCTACTAACTGAAATGAATTTTGACCATGCTTTCAGTTTTTCCTTAGAAAACTAACTTCAACTTGCTGATTCAAGACACTGTCTAAATGCATTTCCCAGCTAATTTTAATTTTAGGTTGGTGCTTCCATTTCAGGCCAGGGCCCCGTAACTCGAAAGCATTGTGCATTGCGACCGAGCACAAGCGTCTCGATTCCATAACTCGGCCATACTCATCCCATATGGGGGTTATGGAATCGAGACTCTTGTGCTCGGTCGCAGTGCGTAATGCTTTCGAGTTACAGGGCCCAGGATGATCCTCCCTGGAGCAACTTCTGTTCTTATCTCTTATCTCCTGACTAGTGCTTGTAACAATAGGATAATTACACTTGCATTTTGCTTACAAGAAACATATGCTATCATTGCAATTCAATATGCTTCATTGCATTCCAAGCAAAATACAAGTGTAGTTATCTTATTATTTGAAGCACCCGCCATGCTGGCATTTTTCTGTATGTGACTTTAAGAGTGTTATTATATTTCAGCTGCATAATAACACTTGTATGCCACATCCAGTTATACCCCCTTTACACTGGACGGCGTCCTTTCTGCGACCATGAAATTTGGCATCGCTGTGGTCTTAATAAGGAGGCACGAGCATTGATTTGGTATCAGAATGCATGCTCAATGATCGGCCAGTTGTCGGCACGTAAAGTATTATAATTCTTTAACTCTCAAATGGGGCCGAACTGCTGGACGCAAAAGGGACGCCGTCCAGTGTAAAGGGGGCTTTAGGGACAAGTGTTGAAACTAGTACTTATTTTGCACAATTTGTTGACAATCACAGAACTGGTTTTATTAGTACCACCAGCGTATACGCTGGCAGTACTCATGGTTTTAGTTCCGACCCGTCTCGTACAGCTCTGCCGNTTTTCTCATGTTAAGAGTTTGCATTGATTATTTTTATGTAAAATCTATAAGAAATGATTATTACTTTGGCATAGGCACCATTGGTTACGAGGATAGATCCAACTCCAAGAGGACTCACTGAATGTAATCAGTTTAACAGATTAACAGGCCTCCTGAGATAATGGTGAGAAGGCTTGTCTTTCACTTAAGCTGATTGCGCTTAGCAAAGAGTCCCCGCAGAGTTGTTTTGATCTGCATAGACCAGTGGTGTCTATGGGAATGGGTCTTGTATTCAAAACCCTGCTTAATTCTTAATTACTGTTTTCTTTCCTACATTCTTGTTCAGAGAAGAATTTCAGATTACATTCAGTGTTAAGACTGACAAAAAAGATAAATAAATGAAGTCTGATTTCATCATTTTTTCCCCAGCTCACCAGTTTAAGAAACATGGTATACTCCCAAGCAAAGGCAAGATTTATAGTTGTGAACTTTGTGACTACACATGTACAATGAAATGTACCTTAAGTCGCCATATGCGGATACACACAGGTAACCATTGTCACTTAAGTGCAGCATTTTTTACACACACACACACACACACACACACACACACACACACACACACACACACACACGCCACTTCTACTAGTTTCTTACATGATTGAAAAAAATCAGCATGCCAAGGGAAAAACTAAATTAATAACTTGATCAAATTGACCCTATGTTCCTGTTGTTACATACTGCAGATTTTCATACAATTTGCTTGTTCATAGAAAGTGTCCATATCCCAGAATACCCATCATGTGAATACTGTTCATACATTACTGGCTCCCACAAAAGTGTAACAGTAAAGGGGGTGGAGTTAACATGTCTGTAGTTGTTTTATTCATAAGTAATGTCTATTCTTTTTAAATGTCTGTAGGAGAAAGGCCAGAAGTTTGCGACATTTGCGGTAAAAAATTTCCCATAGGCAGCCTAAGGGCTCACATGAAGGTTCACAATACTACTTATGACTTTCAATGCATGTACTGTGATTACAAAACTCAGGTAGGTTTTATAAATATCTTTCTTTTATTTATGTGCCAGTTTATATATGTTTATTGTAATGAACTTATAGGATTTAAAATAGGCACTTCTAGCATGCTTTAGTTGAGCTACCTCTACTTAGTGAAATGAATTTTGACCATGCTTTTAGTTTTTCCTTAGAAAACTAACTTCAGCTTGCTGATTCAAGACACTGTCTAAATGCATTTCCCAGCCAGTTTTAATTTCTGGTGGGTGCTACCATTTCAGGCCAGGGCCCTGTAACTCGAAAGCATTGCGAGCAAGCGTAAGTGTCCATAACTCGGCCATACTCACCCCATATGGACATTATGGAATCGAGACTCTTGCGCCTGGTCGCAATGTGCCCAGGATGATCCTCCATGGAGCAACTTCGGTTCAATGTTATCTCCTGGCCTGTACATGTAACAATAGGATAATTACACTTGCATTTTGCCTACAAGAAACATACGCAGGCATTGTATTTCAATATGCTTCATTGCGTTCCAAGCAAAACACAAGTGTAGTTATCTTATTATTTGAAGTACCTGCCATGCTTGCTGTTATCTTATTATTTGAAGCACCCGCCATGCTTGCTGTTTCCTGTATGTAACTTCAAGAGTGTTATTATATCTCAGCTGCATAATAGCACTTGTGTACCACATTTAGTTAGGGACGAGTATTGAAACTAGTAATTATTTTGCACAAGTGGTTGACAATCACAGAACTGGTTTGATTTGACATGGAGGCTTTAACTGTTTAATAAGCTATTTTTACGTACAGACACAGTAGTGTCACTTTTATAAAAAAAATATTTTAGACAACCTGAATGCCCCTTTTAACCTACTCAAGCCATATCTCAGAACACCAAAACCAGTGATTCTTAGAGACCATTCCCACAGATATTAAGGTCAATCTATCCCCCTGGGGAGTCTCACTAGATTGCTGTCAGCTTAATAGGTATAAATGTCTGTCCTGCCTAAGGGGGTAATTAACTTTTGTTCTTGGAAGCTGACAGCAATTTAGTGTGAACCCCCAGGGAGTTAGGTCGATCCAGATGGATCAATCTAAATCTGTGGAAACCCAGTCTTATTCAATGAAGTGGTTTATTTGTCTAAAATATAAGACTTACTTCATGCAAACAAATCAAACCAAAAAATACTTCCTGAAAAAACAGTATGACCTATATAAAGATAGCAATTTCATTAATGCAAAAGTGGAAGAATTGCGGTGGCATCTGGATCATCAAGTCTGGATGTATTTTTGGCCAAAGCCTGTGCACTGTGAGCACAGGCATGCTTGCATGCAGTTCCGTCCCAATTTGTGCTGCCATTGCCTCTAGCTCTGTTAGGAAACTGTCCACTCGTGTAGCAATTGTAGTCCTAGGCATTTTCAAGTCTGACAGCAAGCAGTCAGTTTCAGTACATAATGCCTTCGTCACAATGGCAAGACTGACCTTTTTACATACTATCTTTTGTCAATCAGTCACTTAAAATCTCAGTCACACTACAGTGGCAAAAAAATTGTTTGTACATACACTGTTGCTTAAGCTTGGTCCCGCCATCTTGCCTTCATTTTTGCATGTATAATATCAAGGAAGCACCGATAAGTCAAAAAACAGGAAATATGGGGTAATGAACCAACTGTTTACCTAGGCTAAAATGACCTTCACATTTAATTTGTATGATCATGCAGTCATATACAGTCATGTGTTGTGTGAGAATCATAAGACTTATAATTTTTCGATTTATTTTAACAGTGTAACATCAAGAAAAAATATTTTTGGGCTCAATTTTTTATATATATATATTTTTTTTCTATTTTGACCATTTTGAGTACAGCAAAATTTTAGAAACATGAAATCAAAAAACACCTGTCTAAGATATACAATGGTTCTCAAACTTGAATTTGTGTAGTTCTGATAATTCATGTGCCACCAGCCAATTATATAATGGGTCTGTGTGACATTACACTGTTTAACACACAAAATTATTTTTTAGTCATGATGCAGTGGGAAAGAGGTATTGTGGGGGAATATGATTGTGATAATACCAGTGCTACCACTTCCAGGGTATCTCTTAATATAACAGGTAACAACAGACATTTTTTTTCTGTTTACAAGTGGGAGCATCATCTCAAAACACACATCCGCCTAAAGCATACAGAAGGTGAGAAGAGGCCTTACAAGTGCAGCTATTGTGACCACAGAACTAACTTCAAGGGGAATTGTGTGAAACACATCAAAAATGTCCACCCTGGTAAAGAACCTGCAGTAATTCACCTTAGTGACAATGCTTTATGATTTTTTTCAAAGGATGGAATCAAGAGCAATAGTTTTGACTGATGGGAATGCCTTATCACATCTGATTCTTTTTAGGGTTTAAATTAACCCCAGTCCCCTGGCAGCTTGTTAACCCTGTTACTACTGCTTTATTGGTATCTTACCCTTTTTTTGTATTTTTTTGTTATTAAGTTGTGTTTAAGATGTTTATGTAAAAGAAAAGGATGGAAGTATAAACCTTGAAATTAATTATTGTATTACAGGTGTATTACAGGTTTTAATTCATTGCTCTTGTAACATACATGTATAATGCCATTGCAGTAAGTGTAAGTTTGACAATTACATTAAAAATTTTTGGTACATAATTTAATCATCAAATGTAGAGAAATAAACTCAATAAATGTGTGGTAAAATAAGTTTTCCACTAACACAGGTACACCCGTTAATAGGCATTACACATGTACTTCACAAATATTGTTGGCCTTAAGTAGGTTGATTTCTAAATTAAGCTTCAAAATTTCCTTTCTTAAGTTTTTCATATTGAATTTTCTCAATTTCCTCCTTCAGTAATTAATACTTTTTGAAGTTCTTCTCTCTTTGAACAAGAAGTAGTAAACCTCCTTTTGGTTGATGCAATGGCTGGCTTAGCTGGTTTGCATTTGGACATGTTTCCTGTGGTTTCTGATAAATGTCTTGAGTCACTTTCTGTTAGATAGATCCTTCTTTGTTTTGGAGTATAAATCTTTCCACTTGTGTTTCAACTCTTCCAAGGTTCGATTAGCTGTACCTACAGCATCGATGTAGGCTGTAATATTTTGCCAAAGTTTCATCTTCTGCTCGGCAGTGGTTGAGTTTGTTTTAACAAATTAAAATTTGCAGAAGTCACCCACCATTGCATTAGGGGAGGACATGTACAAAACACGGTTTTCGTACGAATCAAACCGCATTCTTGGAGGCATGTCTGCATTTAATGCATCTTTGCTTGAATTCTCTGGTGGGTTTTCACACATCTGTGTAATCATCTGACTTTGAAGCAAGTCGGCTTTTGTTGTCTCAAGGATGTCTGTTAGGATGTCCACAGCTTTTCCAGTGACTTTCCGAAGATTTCTCTCAGCAGACTGTAAGGTTGCGTCCATTCCTATGACCAATCTCTGAAAAAAGCTTCTACAGTCTGCTTGTGTTGAAATAATTCTAGTGTTGTGGGGCAATTTCTCAGTCCCAGCAGCACGGCTGGTGTCATGTGGCATGGTAACTGTGGCCTGTTGGACTTCAGGGTTTCACATATTATGGGTGCCTCATCATAAACACTACTGGAAACAGACCCAGGGGGTGATCTCTCAGTCTCAGCAGGTCATTTGACTTGTGGCATGGTTTCTGTGGCTTGTTTGACGTCAGGGTTTGCACCGCACGTCAGGGGAAGTTCACCATCGGAGTCGGACACTGGTGTCCAAGTTGGTGTTGCACTAGCTTTGCTGGAAACTGCATCGATCATATCAAATTCTGATGAAAATGCAAGTCAGTTAAGTGGCCAAAGACCAGTTTTCCGGAATCCATTCACCGCTGTGCTCATGTTTGCTGCAGCCAAAAATGCCCGCCAACAAGCTGACTAACCTGGTACACAGTAACCCTTTCTCCTTGACGGAAAATACTTTTCTCTTTCAATGTTGTACCACCATTTCAGAGATTTGAAAAAGCTCACATGTAAGGGTTGCATTGTGTGAGTGGTGTGAGGAGGGAACAAAAGCATAACAAAACCATTATCTCGAGCAAGGTTTATAACTTGAAGATTCTTTGTGTGCGATGCATGTCCATCAAACAGAAGAAGGACCTTGTTTTCAGGAGATGCCCAAGTGATGTTGATGAAGTGAGTCAACCACTGCACAAACTGTTCAATCCATCAATCCATCCGGAATCGCTGCATGCAAATCATTGCATGCAAATATGGTTCCCTCAGGCACACAAAATTGCAGAGAATTGTTCATTCTCTTCCGCTTAAATATAAGCATTGGAGGGAGAAACATTCACGTAGCTGAGTGACAGTACATGCTGGTTGTATTGCAGCACTTGTCGTAGCCCCAACTTGACGTTTACCGGTTGTTGGTATCACTTTTGCAGGGACTGGTACAGTTGAGTGGCTTGTCTCATTGACATTGTATATCTGGTCTGGGGTCAGCTGGTACAAGTCAATCAGTTCTTCATATTTTTTAAAAAAATTCTGTTACTACTTCTCGATTAAATCCCTGGGCCCAGGCTAAGGATGTTGCCTCGGATGGTGTCTGGGCTTTGGGTGGTGTCTCATGAACAATTTAAACCACTTCTTCCCAGCAGAATTAAATGGTGACTTCAGCCCATGAGCACAAGCTATATCATATGCCAACTTCATAAGGTCCTCCCTGCTTATTCCAAACATCATGGAATCCATAAACCCCTTAAGGAAGAATCCCTCTAGTTTCCTTTGTAAAAAAGATATTTGAACCAAAGTGGCACTGATATTGTCGGTCTGATTTGGAGTTCAGTCTGGAACATTTATTTGTCAATTGGTGCAAAAGAAAAGACACAATGGTTAAAATTAAAAAAAATTTTTTTTTGCCTTTTTGGCCCATGGGTGGGGCAAAAAGCCTTTTGTCAGATGGCAAAACGCCCATGATGGGCGTTTTACCCCAAATCCAACAACAACCCTTGTTTTGCATAAACAAACAATTACTTTTTCTTGATTTCAGTTATCTCTTCTTTACATTATAACAATTTTTCCATTTTCTATTTTTTTCTAAATGTCATACGTATGTGAGCTCTTTGCACCGATAGGATAGGATAGGATAACCCAAACATTGTTATTTACTTATCATACAACTTAAAGCTATGAAAACTGGATTTACTCACAAATAAAAATGCAACAACTTACACTCTTATTTCAGAGCAATAAAAACAATTTACAAATCCACTCCAATTCTTTAGTTAAGGAAAACCACTTTTGAAATGTTATAAATTTCAATTCTAAATCACAAGAACTGCTGGAGATTGAGAGCAGTACAGATTCAAGAAAAAAATCAACGATTTATGATATTTCTTGATGTTTTTTAATACATGTATGTATCATACAACAAAATACGCAAAACACTTTCAATCATTTTAACTTTTTGTTAACATTGTTAACTACTCTTTAATAGTGAGGTACACATATCTTTAAAAAAAACATCTTTCTTGGTGTATAGAGAGTTTTTGTGCCCATCACTGATACAGTAGGTTCTCAGTGGTTATGAATTGTGACATCAGTAAAAAACTTGTGAGAATAAAATCGAATTAGTCTGATTCACAACTTGGGCAAACAAATGATGGCATTCCGTCGGTGCACACTTCATGAGCCCATTGTTTGCAAACTTGACATAGCACCCATGATACATCATTCGGTCTGCTCTCATTAAACCACTCTGCACACACAACACACATCCAATCCTCTTCTTCTTCCTCCATTCCTTTGCGGTTGTTTTTTATGGTTTTCTTATGTTTCTCTGATTTCTTTTCCTGGTTTTTCTTACTTTGTTTCTTTGGTTTCTTATTTGTTTCAAGCTTGGCTTTGTAAGGCGAGGAAGTTAGGACAGCAGAGGTCTTGGCCTTTCGAGATAATTTCCTTTTTTCCTCGAGTTTTGGCAATGGAGACAGGTCTTTTATTATTCCCTGGATGGATTCAGAGGTCTGTCTTCTATCTTCTCTGGTAGACAACACGACGCAATCATAATGCCCGACATCCACTCCACAAGAAGTATATTTTACATAGAGCACAGGTTTGAAAGAATCTCGCTGTATGTTTGGATGGTGTTCATCCTGTGGTCCATTACTACAACGGGACGTCCCAGGACTTTGCTGGCAGCCACTATTTCTAGCTCACCTGCCATGGTTGTGTTGTTTGACATATCGGTGGTCCTGTCAGTTATGGAGTCGGACCATTTGTGAGGGGGCAAGATTCTGTAGCATATACAGCATGGCATTAGCTCTAATATTATCAGCCACTCTTGTCTCCTGCTCTCTAAGTCGCACTTCTTTCAATTTGCCGTCTTCATATCTTTCGGCCACTTGTAACCAGGGTCTTTCGCCTACAGCCAAACTCTGGAAAAGACACTGCCCGTCACCAATAATCTTCATAACTTTTGAGTTATTTACTGCATCTTCCTCCACAGTGGGAGCAAGTGCCATGACTGGTGTATTTTCCTCTGTAGTGGGAGCTGGTGCCATGACTGGTGTATTTTCCTCTGTGGTGGAAGCATGTGCCATGACTGGTGTATTTTCTTCTGTGGTGAAAGCAAGTGCCATGACTGGTGTATTTTCCTCTGTGGTGGGAGCAGGTGCCATGACTGGTGTATTTTCCTCTGTGGTGGGAGCAGGTGCCGTGACTGCTATCTCTTCCTCTACTCTGGAAGCCAGGGATTCATCAGTCACTAAAGACGCCTGGAATTCTGTATCATGTGTGAATTCATAGACCAGATTTCGGTATGTTGAACCTGTATGCTGTGTTCCTAAGTGACTCCCCCCCCCCCCCCCATCACTTCATTAACAGCTATTTTCACGAGCACAGGTTCATGTCTAGCCTTTCTTAAGTATTTTCTTGCCATTCTGAATATCAAGAAAATGGGGGGGGGGGTATTCTTATAAGAGGCAACTCGTTGCCTATTGCCTTCAAGAGCCTTGAGAATAACTTCTTTTCCATATTTTCCCCGCTCGGTTGTTCGCTTGTATGTTCTAACCACACTGTCTAAAAATTATTTTAGAAATAATCAAGATTATTTTGGCATAAAATACATTAAAATATAATAATCTATTAATATAATATCTTCTATGTTATCATTCTCTTACGTTTATGAATTGAACATTTAGGTAGGTGGGTTGAGTGGGGCAAAACGCCCCTCACGCGGGGCAAGACGCCCACCCATGGTGTCTTGCCCCTTTCTGTGGCAGGCCCTTTGCCCCTAAATGATACATTGTTTTATTTATTTTATTATAATATTTTTTAAAATCGAGACGGCTTCTTGGAGATAAAAAACTGTTAGTGTTAACATGTCGAAAGAAGATTGCTAGGTAACTGGCAAAAGCGGTAATTTTAAATTTAATCCATCTTACCCGCAGGGTCACAGATTTAAAGTGAGGGTGAAAGTTAGAGAATTAGGGGCAAAAATACAAAGGTGTTTGTAAAATACATACCTTTTGGTGGGACTGGACTTTGGCTTGATGCTATGCGGAATATGACGTAGCGTCACGTGTATCAAAATCTTGCGTTATTAAAGAAAAATCGCAAATTGTCTTTTTGCCCCACCCTACCCTATATGCTGTTTGTATGTTGCAATAAAGCGCTTATTGAACATATCGTTCATATACACAGCCTACTTTTCTTAAAGTTTATGTATGCATATTTGTTAAAATAAGATAAGGAAATTGTTAGCTAATGTCAGTTATGTTAACAAACGCTTATTGTGAAACATGTTTATATGGTAGAAGAACTGTAAGTTTGTTTAGACATGCATGTGCGCATGTAATATGTTCAAGTTAAATCTTACCACTTTCCAACAAGTCTTGGCTCTAAGCAGTTCGGTTTCTATATTTCCCTTCACAATTCTTCTATTTACCTAAGCTTTTGTTATTGTTCTTTTCTAGTCATTTTATATTATTCATGTTTTATGATATGTAAACTTCAGACAAGCTTTTTTAGAATATAAGCATTCTTTGCTCATATGTATTAGGGCTTTTGTATTTTAAAAGTACGAGATGTAAGCTCGCCTAATTTTAGCGGTATCAGATGATATTCAGTGGAGGATTAGTAAGTTGTGAAAATGTTGCCACTGTTGTAAAAGTATATAAAAATCAGTGTTGGCGTTAAAGGTCCATTAAGACATTTTTTTTAGAGTCGCAAGTTTGGAAAACAGGTGAAGTTTTTCAAGTCCATTAATTGGAATACGTACTGCCCCAATGCATTTTACTTATAGGACATAAAGACAAACGTTATGTCTATACCAAGAAAATAATAAATAAAAAAATGTTATCTGTACTACTAGTAAAATGGATAAAGGATTTTAGTTTTGTGCTCATTGTATCGCTTACGCTTGGACATTAAAGTAAGGGGTTTCACCAGATGTATTTATCAATTTTTGCGCAAATAATTTTTTTTACAAATAACACAATGGAACTCGTCCGTGATTTTTTAAGATCGCACAGTTGGCATACATTTTTAAAAGTAATGTACACTTAAACTTGTTAACCAACAAATATAGGGAAATAAAGGCATCTACATCCCTATTTTAATATTGTTTTTTTGAAGAAAAAAAGTTCATTCTCATACATACATATGATGGTAATTATAAGACATTGAGAAGCAATAATGTATGGTATCGTCTATGTTTGCCAAAACTTTACTCGAATTAAGTAATTTTTTCTACAATCAAAAGCTAAATATTGAATAAAAATTACTTTATTCTTATAACATAGCGCAGCTGATGAAGTTCTCTGACTTATAAACTATACTCGGTATTAAAATTCGCAAAAAGATTGATTCAATTGTAAGTCGTGGAACATAATTCAAAAGGGAATACTTTTTTACAGTATAAAATTGCAGTTTTCAATGTTTTGTTGATATAATTATTGTTATTCACAAATGGAAAAAATTGTTAAATGTAAAAGACGCAGAAGCAGTGATACATGTATTTTCCATTCACTAATCTATTGTCTTATTCTAAATATGAACATTTCTAAAGATGTGAAACACAATGGTCTAGAAGTACAGCCTACCTTAAATAGCTGGTACCAACTTTTTTACAGCACTCGCCATATTTTTAAAAATATTATATAAACCCATTTCACAAGATTTAAGTATATCAGTCCAAGCATCGCAACCCTGTGTGCACATAAAAACTGGTTGAGTTAAATTTGGGGAAAGATATTCGTTGTCCTAAATACTGCTTAGATATTTGTTAACTAGGATATCAAAGTCTTACTGGTTTGGAATTTCCTTCTCCAGGGCTTGGGTAGTGCGTTGTAATAACGTTGTCTCAGACTCTCTGTCACTAGCCACTATGGCAGCCGCTTCAAGGAGGCCCCAGATGTCAAAAGGCAAAAACACCAGTGGAATGATTCCACCCACTCAATCTAAAACACACTAATTGGATCCTGGATACCCATTGCCTGTAATAAAAACTGCGGTAAGGTTTCCCTTGTTGATGTGGTCACACTAGGTCCTGTGCCCATTGCAATCAGTTCCCCAGCCAGTTCCTGTGCTGAGATGATTGGTTAATGCAAAAATTTAGAACCCACAATGAATCAAATATTACCCGTGTGGTGCATTGTAGATAATATGATACATTTTTCGGGAATGTTTGCAGTGTTTCGTATCTCAAAATGTTGTTTGATTTTCATTAGATCCTGTCTGCTTATGTGTTTCAAAGTCTCAGTACCAATATGTCACGTAATGCATTGTGATCTTTTTGTAAGACTTCATTGGCCTCCGAATGCTGCTGCAAATATTAAAGAGGAATGCCCCATGAACCTGGCGACGTTAATGCTTTGATGATGAAGGTGCAAAACTTCGGCGATGCCGCGTAGTTTACGTTCTGTAGCTGTCCTGCACTTTTTCCAAACACCAAACGCAAAATATAGTCTTTTTGCGAAGCAAGCCGACTTGACAATACACCTATAACATATAAACGGGGTTTTCACTAGATGCATTTATCAAACTTTGCGCAAATAACTTTTTACAATAGGCTTTGGGGCCTGTTTGTGAACTGTCTTTAATTTTTTTATTCGTCACATTGGGCTGACAGTCCTC